TTATACAAATTCCCTATACCAGGTGTGACGAGCTTCTTTGCTGAGTGCCCCACGAGAGTCCCACTACCATCGAACCGTTTCTCCCACCATCAGGTTCCATACTAGTCAGTTGCCCGTCGGGCCTACGTCCCAACTCTGACGAGTACGCGTAGTGGGGGCAGTTTTACGCTTGCGCGGAACAGCAGAGTAGGGGAAGGGGCCATACCGACTCGCGAGCCGTCAGTTCGTCACCCTTGCGTTTTATTTGCGATTGTTCTTTCATTATTATTCCATAAATCCTTCTATTTCCCAGTTATATTTTGTAATAGTAAGTAAAGGATATTTAGAAAAAAGAATAAACGCATTTTACACGCGTTTAGTGGATTTTACAGTTACGTATAAGCCGCTGTTCTTAGAAACATTGTAAGTTTCCGTCGAAACCAATGAGATTGATAACCGTGCCAGGTATCTGTCGGTTATCAATCGCGAGAGCTGGATCTATTACTCACGGTCTAATCGAGCCCCAACTATTCTCGTTAAGCAATCCTCGAGCGGCGGGTAGATAAGATACGTACGGCTTATCGATTTCTCCAAGAAATTGTTAATATGTACGATCGAACACGGCGACGAAACGTTTCCGCGAGAGATAAAAAACGATAACCGCGGAAACTTCGCGGCTCTTGTAACCGACAACTTTATCTCTAGGTCGAGCGTGAACGTTTCGTTATGAATCGCACGTAGATCGTGTTATAATCTTTTGGTCTCGTTTGGGAGGAGGAAATTACGAATATTATGCGACAAAAATAAAACAAGATAGTAAATAACATTTCCAATTGCGTTAAATAAGCTTTTTATTTCCGAGTTCGCGCGAAATACTCGAAGAAGATGCATTTTTTTCGGGATACGCCGCTCGCTTCGTTATCGCGCTGTAAGGCCAGTTTTCTATACAATGGTTCCTCGCTTCAAAGAGAAAAATCGGATCCGCCAGCTGCCTTGAATGGAGGGTCGGAAACGAATTCTATTTCAAAGCGAGGCTCAGCCACGCGTGAACCATCCGACGAAGAGATTGCACGAGAAACACCAAAAGTGAACGCAACAACGAGTGCATCTCGTATTACATGCACTCGGTGACCAAACTTCGAATCGATACTGCACGCGTGACTATCTTCCAACCACCGACGAAATATTAATATTTCTACATTTTGGGGATTTTGCTGGCGATGAACAGTCTACACCGAGTGTACTTATACTTTAAACATAAATATTGATGATATTAAGGAGCATAATAGATAGGAACCGCGCATCGATACAATTACCAGTCTACCCCATACAGCGAGCGTCACCGAAGAAGCTGAACAATGCTGCGACTGAACTTGGGTCGTGATCGAATAGACCCTATGGCGACCACAATAGGATCGAGCACTTGAACATAGACCTTGGGGCTCTTCTATCGTGGCGTGTTTTCCTTTTAGATAGGTCGGACTCCTCGGTACGGTCGCGTCAGTGACCAAACTATCCTTCCTCGCTGAAAGGCCTAATGAGACGTTATCGGTCGAACGCGATAAGTCATCGATTTTGTAGCTGACGTTCGATCGAGGCCAGGACACGTGACACCGACGTCATTTCCGTGGTGTACAATCACAGCCCGTCACCGGTTTCGGTCACTCTGAATACGGTACGAGCCGACCAGGATCTACCGTGAGGCGCGCGAGTATACGCCGCTCGATTCAAAGCATTGTTGAACCGCGACCGTTCGATTACGAATTAAATGGACTTTATCCCGTGAAACGATCGCCGGATACTTTTCACTTTTTTTTTTTACCCTCCGTTGTTATTTCCCGGTGCTCGTATACAGCGCCAAACTCGTACTCTACCGATCAGCGTTACCGAGACCCCTTTCCTTTCGATTCAGTTTATATGCAGCTATTTGTACTATTTAACGCTAGATCTACGGGCGTTGATTGCACATAAAATGCGGTTTTTCTTTTAAATACATCGATGAAATGCAACATACAGTCATGGACAAAATTAAGTGGACAGTACATAAATTCTGAATAATCTCTATTTTCATTTATTATGTTATAAATTTATTTGAGATGTTTATACACAACAAAAGAATATATTTAGTATGTAAAAGTATAAATATGATGTTTCTGTTAATATTTATACGTATTGCTGTCTAGACTCATTTTTTCGGCCTTTTTTGTGATTTTTTTTTAATGATAGATAGGCTGTTTTGTACTGAGATTTTGCAGATATATTTATTTATCTTATAAATATATACAGTATTTTTTTCATCAAAAAATATTGAAAATTGTGGGAGTTATAACTTCTAGTTTTAAAAAATGCATTTAAATTGCTTTCTATGGTATTTCAAGACCTAGCAGACCGATTGACTCTAAATTTGGAGAGAATATTCAGCCGACACGCCTTTTTCGCTGGAACTAGAGATTTTAAAAAATATTGAGTTTTACTATTTTGTTTAATATACTAAAGACAAAGGAAAGGTTAAAAAATAAAAATTTGAAACTTGAAGTGGACACAGACATTCTGTGTTGGGACGGAAAAAATGTAAACAAACGTTCGACTCTCGCATTGCGCGGTGTCACTCGTCCTCGGTAGACATTGAATTTTTGTTTCAGAGTACGAAAATGGACTAAGTTATCGTAAAATGACTGAAAAATACAAAGTTTCTAAGAGCACAGTGCATCAAATTTATTACAAGTATTTAAAGTATGATACTGTTGAAAATTTAATCGAAAACGTAGTACAAATTCATACGATGATATACAAATTGTAAGAGAAACTCAACGTAATCCATTTGTTGATCATTAAACCTGTCCACTTAATTTTGTCCACGACTGTAAATTACTAACGAACGATATTTGTGAGTTCTGTACGTTCGGATTGACGAGTTTGGTAAATCTGATGTTAAATACAGTGATGCCTTGGAAATTGCTCCTCGCCAATTCTTGGAACTGGCTTCCCGTTTGTCTCAACGGTCAAGTATGTTTATGTTCTTAAATCCACTGTGAGATATCGATGTACCGTGTTGTGCACGTCCCGAAAAAAATCGAGGTCCTTTTGTATTTATAATTGCCTGGACTCGTATTATACGAGACGGACTGCTAAGATGAGAGATTGCCATGGAAATATCTCTTTCTCTGATTTGTCGCTGCGCTGTCGAGTTTCAGTTTGGAAATAGTCCTTGTCGCGTGATTTGTTAGGAAAATAGAGACTGTCGTGTCGCGGCATCGATAGCCGCACGATTCCAAGTAAGCAAAGTTTGCGGTTTGCGGACGTCGACGGTAGCTGAAAGATTATCCTCTTTTGCCCACCGTGATCAACGAATCCAAGAGCAATAAGACCGACTAGAGTAATGATCTACGCAGTCAATCCGAAAGCCACCATTTTCGATCGCGAAAGAATAAAATTAAATTACTCGCGATTCCTTGTACCGAAGAGGTTAATTTCCGGGACGACCTAATATTTTCTATTTTCCCTCGCGTAACAGCCACGTCTGTTATTTATTAACTTTATCTACGTCGAAAAGTAACCCCCGCTAGTCCAGAATGGCACAAGATCCTCTTATCGGCGAGCAAGACGCGTCCCGAGTAAGTGCAACATCGTAGGAAGAAACAACAAGCTCGATGCATTTCCCCTTTATGACCTCTCGTTACGAGTTTTCTTACTGCTGCAGTTCCAACTCGTATACGTTATTATTAATTATTACGCGTTCTCGTATGTTGCAGCCACTTTCGTAACGAGTACGCGTTCCTTTTTGTGAAGCAACTGCCCCGAGTTACGGCCAATTTAGGGCCCGTTAGCGAGATACGACCGAGTCGCGTTCGAAATCCTACTACGTAGGCGTACAGAGGTCGCGCGGGTGCCACGAATATCGTGCACGATTCGAAATAAAAACAACGCTTCCGATTGATAGAGAAATGTCATTGCACGAGTACAAGTGCGACCCACACCGATAGCGACAATTGTTGTCAAGATTTTTTTTTTAAAGCTAAACCGATACGCTAAACCAACAACCGACAGTCATTTCCCATCGATCACCTGTTAATAGATAAAATTCTTCATCGATATCCGCATCGATCGTTTGCAGTTGTAATGCCAACCGGCGATGTTCGTTCGTCGATGACTTCATGGTGATGTAACGAGTAATCAAGACAATACCGTTCTTTAATTTCTTATCTATTTTATGTCTTCTACGTCTTAACGCGTTAAATATACTTTGTCGGTCCTTCGGAATTCGAACTCTATAATTTTGATCGCACTGGTCGATGCAGTTTTCTAGCCTCTACAAAAGACTGTTAAAGTACTTGTGTATTAAATCTAATAGCTCAAGAGTTATAACACTTTACCGTGTATTAAATTATTTCAGTGTATCTTTGTTCGTTCTCGTTCAGATATGCATTACAGTGTTTGTAAACACGAGTCTACGTTCAATATCGATCGGTGTAAGCCCAACTTTGTCTTTGATAACTCTGTGCATCGTTATGGTATTTACGAGTGGTAAAGAGTAGACGTTAGGCGTAAAGCATAAGTAATAATTTCCTCTTAAGTAAGATCGACTCGAACGACTATTAAAACTTCGATATCAAAGTCACGCTGGAATTAGAAAATACTAGGATCGACGAGTGACTAACAAAGAGCTTATCGAAACGATAAAAAAGAAACGAACATCTCGAGCATCGAGGTTGACTCGAGAATGCGATCTATCAATATCACTCTGTTTACCGCGACCCGGTAGTTTTCCACAAATCGCACGCTCCGGGCGTACGGGCATGCCGGTTCGTAGAATTCATATCTTTGAAAGAGACGGTATTTACTCTTCTCGATACTATCACGAGTACTACGTACTACTATACGAGCCACGTTTACAGGTTATAAGTCTAGTACCGTTAAGCACACCGTGGTGCCAGTGACAGTTCGCATCGCATCGCGGAGTCGATAGGACAGAGTTTGTAGTTCGGTCCCCGTCGACTCGTCGCCACATTCAAATTGCTTACCTTTTCTACGATATTTCCCACGCCGGGAGTCGCCCGTCACATTCCAAGAAGTGTTGACGCACGACGCAGTAGCCGGCGATGAATCCGCGAATCCGTTTCTCTAGCTGGCCGAGGTACGCGTCCCATATAACATCCACCCTTGCCACCGTAAACACGCGTCTCTTTTCTTCAGGGTCGGTTCAATCACAGAAGCTACCTCGACGCGATTCTCGCCCGAGAGACACACGGTGATGAGTTACGTGGACAGATCGGTCCGAGTCGCACTGTCAACCGCGCCGTTATCATCGAGCCTCCAACGCGAATAGAAGGAACGAGAGAGCCACTGGGAATCTCTTCGGGACGTATCCTTTGTCGCCAGTACAGCAGTTTCCTCGCGTACGAATGGGAACCGAGTCAGTGACGCGGTCGAAAAATCGGTCGGTGTTGCGGCGTGCGTAGCCGGGTGGCGATAAAGTCCTCCGTGGCAGCGGACACCGCTGCGAATCGAGCCGAGCACTTCTCGCCGGATAAACGCACAGTCAGCGGGCGCGTTCGCACGGACACCGAGTGTCTCATACGTCGGGGAATCCGGCGTGCGATAATACGTTCGATCGTAGCCGCTGATAGTCGTCGAATCCTCCCGCATCAAGATCTCCTCTCAAGATTCCGAACATCTCCCGCACGCATACACGCGCGCGCTCTCTTTCTATCCGCTTCTGTTCGGCCAGAACGTATCCGCGACTATGCTTCACCGGAGATGCGACGATGCGCTCTGTTCCAGCGGTTTACCAGTCCTGAATTAACTCGCGCGAGTATCACTGACCGTCTCAATGGCCCTGCGATCGAGACGTCCTGGCATCCTGCTACGGGCGTCGTTTCCATCCACCGTCTCCTCGAGGCCGGTCGACGGTTACTCCCCTTGATCCGAGCAACGTCCCCGTGACAAGGCCGACCGAGATACGCACGCACGATACGTGGCCTCCGCGAGAAACGAAAGAACACGGACCGCACTTTTTTTTCCTGCTCCCGTGATTGTTAGGCCCGTTCACGGAACAGTCTCCACCGACGACGATACAGCCGTCCGAGCAAGATCCCGTCGGCTATCTGTCGTTCGCGGAACACGATTTCGAGCATGCACGTGCGGCAGAGTACGCAGAAACCGCAACTTTTTTACGGACACATCCCCGTACTTGTCTCCTCCTCGCCAACGCCTACACGATACACATTGCACGCAGCAACGACGCCCCTACACGCCGATGGCAGCGGTTCTCAAACCGCGGCGTCAACGTCCGCCGGCAGAGAGCGCCGCGAACCTGTCGTTCGCCGAGATCTTGAAAATCGGCTCTTGCCTAGGGTGTTTCGATCCATTAGATTTTACCGTTGTTGCGAAATTTCTTTACGATTGGATTCGTCCTTTGCTTCCGAGGCCCGCGTTCGACAAGAAATCGTTCGTCGAAGAACGATATTGACATTTTTCAATATTTATATAAAACTGCGAGATAAAAAAAAATTCCTAAACTGTGAAATCGCGGGCACTAGGGGAACTAAACGCGTACAGGGACCCTGAGATTCGTCACATTGTTGCACATTCATTGAAATGGAAACGATTCTAACAAAGTTCATAGGAAAATAATAAATATTTATTCGTATAAAAAACAGTCTAAAAAAAAAATAACAAAATACACTGTCGTATGCTTAGATACTATAAAAGCTTACACTAATTCGTAAGCTTTCATTATGCCGCAACAAAGACATATAAGTTGTATATATTCGCTTCCACCATCTAACAATCTATAGTTACATTCCTAAATACGGAAACGAGAAAATGAATAATAAATACTATTTGTATCATGAAAATAATTAGAAACCCTTACCCCAAGTTTCTCTGCGATCAAAGCTTTTTGTTTGTCCGATAATTCGTTGGAATATATAATTCTTTCGCTGAGCTGTTCGATAACCTTTAGGCGGAAAAAATAACAATTTTATACTCTATCTTGACATCTCGACTACGGTTCTGAACAAATGTAGAGATCTTACTTGAGACGTAGCGTACGCTTCCAACATAAATTCGTCGACAAATGCTTCAGCCTTGCTATAGTCTTTTGTTTTGCACACTTCCATCAACTTGTCCAACCATTTATCAGGAACAACCTATGTTACATATTCACTGAATTATAATCAACTAACCAATATTGATATAAATTGCTTAAAAATTATATTATAAGTTACCCCTATTATTTCAACGACATCATCCACCGTAATTTCGATGCTTTGACCCTTTAATCTTGTAATAGACTGTAAACACGTTATGGCGCGTCTCAAATCTCCACCCGAGACATCAACAATTTTTAATAAAACAGACTTTTCTGCTTTCAAGTCCTCCAGTTTGCATATATACTCTAATCTTTTTATGATTTTATCTTCTCCCAGAGGCTTGAATCTGAATTTTGTACAACGTGAAGTCAGTGGTTCTATAATTCTAGATACATAGTTGCAAATTAAACAAAAGCGAGTACTATGAGATTCCTTTTCCATGGTACGACGAAGAGCTGATTGCGCGGCGTTGGTCATACTATCCGCTTCGTCGAGAATAATAATTTTGAAAGGCGGACAACGTTTCCCGCTGGAAAATTGAATCTATGTAATAAATGTTCCCTGAATTATATTTGCAATTATTATATACTACATGTCTCAGATTGTGCCGTTATCATAGTAATTACAGGAATGGTACGCAAGATTGTCAGAGAATAATATTTATTTTATTTGTCTGCTTATACTTCAGGACCAAAAGTTTAAAACTTCACTATACTTTTGGGACAACCTGTCGAAAGCATTTTGCTTTCTAGTTGGCAATAAGAGTTGCTAAAATCTTTGTTATAACTCCTGACAACAACCATATTCTCTGAACAATCTTTGCATACGACTCCAATGTAATTCTCAAACCTTTTACTACGCATCATTGATTTTCCACAAAATAATAACAATATTTCGGTACATTTATAAATGAAATATAGAAGTAAACATACTCGTCTCTCGAGCCACCTGCTGTAAGTTGAGCAAATGATTTAATCTTATCCCTCACAACTTGGATACCTCTTTCATCCGAGGCATTTAATTCCAATATTCTCTGTTTGTAAAGACTACCAAACAATTGTCTGGCCGCTGCTAATATTGTACTTGTTTTACCAGTTCCCGGAGGACCGTAAAATAACAAATTTGGAAAATCATTGCCCTTTAAACATTGCCTCAATACCTCGACTACTTCTCCTTGTTCGACTACATCTTCCACGGTTCTCGGGCGGCTATAAAAACACGAAAATTTTGAAACTGGTAGAAAGAAAGTTCAGAAATTTCACCGATGAAGGTTATACCACGCGGTAATGCTCACTATTTTTCTACCCATGGCGGTGCTGGGGCGCTACGTTCTTCCTTTGTACGTGATGTCGAAGGTTTTTTAGATTCTCCAGGTCCCAATTTTCCCGTTTTCAAAAACGCCTGCATGCTTCTCTTATCCCAAACTTTTCTTAACGGAAAAATAATTTCATATAATAAACCAATGTTTATTCCCGCGCAATTTCCTTCCAACTCCAATCACACCAACGTTTCGAGACAAATTTTCCGAAAGAAACTACGTATTTTCATTCGACAAATTTGTATTCGAAATTCATGATTGTTTTCAGTTACGATCGTAATTGATTGCAATTATTAGCAGTTTCATTAATTTTATCCACAATTATGAACTATTTTATACGAATTCGTTCAATGAATTCATTTACGCGTTAATGGACATGTATGAAAAGGTCGATTATCGAATGTATGTAACGTTCTAGTTCCAAATTTCCGTTAGATTAGCAGCTACTTACATTCGTTATAAAACGAACAAATTTACCGTTTGTTCGTCGTATCGGTATTGTAAATAAAAGGGAATACTCGGCTGTACGATGGTTTATAGCATGTATAAGAGAGAAAACGTGAAGTTTTCTTAGGATAGTTAAACAATACTGAATGAATAACGAATTATGTGTTTCATGCTGTAGTTCGGTTCATTGACATTATTTTTGTTGAATTATCGTACTACCCCCATTGAAAACAGTTTGAAAAATTACAATCGATAATTATAATATTCATTCGGTGGTTATTGAATAGGACAAAAAACGCGTAAAAGTTCGCGTAGCGTGTAGAATGGATCATCGTAATCGATTGAGCATTAAAAAATATTTAAATTGTACCATGGATTCGATACAATTCAATGTAAATTAAACGACACCGGCATCCGCGTATTTTTCGTACAGTGAATCTTCTTTTAAACATGTGATATTTTTGTTCTCGACACTCTTTCGAACAATACATTTAAATAATGGTGTTCTGGATTGTTACTCTGGTAGCAATCATTTTGCATTTCAGTTCTGTGCACACCAGTACGTATTTCATAAGAAGTAAAATAGGATTGTCAAGAATGTAAAACTTTTACTTTGTATTTCTTTTCTTTATAGAACCAGAATCTCAGGGTTATTGTGCACCATATAGTGGAAAGATTTGCAAGAAGTATTTAGCCGGCATCGGAAAAGTATGGTTCAATGATTCTAACAATAATCCCGGAGGATTGTTGAACGAACAGATTACAACCAATTTGTGGGAAGAATTGATACAAAAACTTTATGAGCCATGTCGTTCGGCGGCAGAGGTAATATTAATGTAATAAAACAAAGCATGTATCTGAACTGATATCTGAACAATATTTTATCATTTTAGAAAATGCTGTGTATGTATGCTTTTCCACAATGTCATAACTCGATTGGCCTGCCATTATGTTACGAAGATTGTATGGCAGTAAGGCATCAATTCTGTTTTAATGACTGGGCGATGATAGAGGATAACAAGCAGAGGGAGATTTATATCAGATCACGGGGACATTTTACATTGCCAGAATGCGAATTGTTACCAAAAGTAGTGGCAGGAAAAATGATCTGTTCCCACATTCATTTAACCGATATGAACCAAGACCATGTTACATGTAAAGCAGACATAAAATTAGTTTATCCATGATTCGTATATGTGTTTTCTAACTCCTTAATCGCGCATTATTTCAGACGACTGTGTTAAAGGAAATGGTAGATTTTATTTGGGTAAAGTAAATAAAACAAAGTTTGGCTTAGATTGCCAATCATGGAATGCACAAATGCCACACAATCATGACAGACCGCCGGACGTCTTCCCTCAAATTCGTAATGGAAAAAACTATTGTAGAAATGCGGGTGGAGACGAACCAATGCCATGGTGTTTCACCATGGATCCTCAAATACGATGGCAACATTGTGATATTCCTATATGCGGTACATAATTAATACTTTATAGAACGTCGATTAAATCGATTGTACTTGTTCTGATTTTCTATTGTTTCCAACTCAGATAACGTAACGAGTAAGGTACTGGAGATCGATCCAAAAGATTTAACTATGGATACATTGTTTACTCCAATGTTCATATTGATTCTATCTTCATTGGGGTTTTTAATTATAACTGGAACCGTATTATCAATTATTTTAAGTCATAGACTGCACAAACGACATCAAGGATATAACCCAACAAATAACCAGGTATATTATGAACAATTAGTTTTTGCAAATTATAATGTATGAAATCTTGTATGTAAGATGAAACTTGCCCAGAAAAATAATACTGAGTCTGGTCTTTGTACTATTATTATGACAAGAATGGTAATGATATACACGTTATACATTTATGTATAATTTTTAGTATGTCACTATTGATTTGGACAAACTGCCAAGCAACAATGCATACCACAAGACAAGCGCGCAGCTTAATCCGAAATTGGAGAAACTTGAATTTCCAAGAAACAACGTTATATACGAGCGAGATTTAGGACAAGGTGCTTTCGGTAGAGTGTTTCAAGCGAAAGCGCCTGGTCTTGTTCCAGGCGAAGAGTTTACAAACGTTGCCGTTAAAATGCTCAAAGACGAAGCATCAGAGGATCTGCTGAAGGATTTCGAGCGCGAAGCGTGTCTACTTGCCGAATTTGATCATCCGAACATCGTCAAACTATTAGGCGTATGCGCATTGGGTCGACCAATGTGTCTTCTGTTCGAGTATATGGGCCGCGGTGACTTGAACGAATTTCTACGATCTTGTTCACCGGGTAATTACATCATTCGAAGCTTAGAAAGGGACGAACACTTCACTGACTCGCGTTTATCGCACATGGATTTAATCAATATCGCGTTACAAGTAGCATCCGGAATGGTGTACTTGTCGGATCGTAAATTCGTCCATCGGGACCTCGCGACGAGAAACTGTTTGATAAATGACCAAATGATTGTGAAAATAGCGGACTTTGGATTGTCGCAGAAGATCTATTTGCAAGATTATTACAAAGGTGACGAACAAGACGCTATTCCAGTTAGATGGATGCCTCTGGAGAGCATACTGTACAATAAGTACACCGTCGAATCCGACGTATGGGCATTTGCGGTGTGCTTATGGGAGATATTTAGCTTCGCGCTACAGCCTTATTACGGAATGACCCACGAGGAAGTTGTAAAATACATTAAAGAAGGCAATGTTCTTCAATGTCCCGAAAACACGCCGCAAGCGATATATGATCTGATGAAACTCTGTTGGAACAGGAGACCATCGGACAGGCCTGCTTTCAGAACAATTTACAATACTCTTGACACCATAAAGCATAATTTGGAGGCAGAAAATAAGTCGGACAGTGTACCGTTGCGTATCCACGTTTGAGTCTGATGACAATTTGCACTAGAAAGGAACTCGATTATTCGTACGATTAAGGAATAAGTGATATTTACGCGGAGATAAAGGTAAGTGAATGATAAATTGTACCTACGTGTTGCGCGTAATTGCCTTTGTTATGTTTATTACGTAGCTTTATTGAAAGAACTGATCCAAGTATTTATGAAAAACGTTTTGATATTGGCAAGTATTATGTTCACATCAATGAACACATCACATAAAACAAAATAAATAATTTTTCTTATAATTCCAAAGGGAACACATAAATAAATATATATATTTATTTATTTATCTTCATTCTTTTACTTGGTTTACATGTGATTGCTTGTAAATATGTATATTACATTAAGTCTATAACCTTTTTTTATGTATAAAATTATTGAAAATTCTCTCTTAAATTGTTTATAGATCATGTTCTTAAATACAAAATTATTAAATTCGAGTTATTTTTGGAATGGTTATCAGTGTATTCTTTTATATTTAAAAATTTCATTTTATCAACGAGTCGTATTCGTCGATAATCTATTTGGTTTATATTGAAATTGAATAATTAAAGATTGGGACATAATATAATCACATTTTTGGAGAGCACAGATATGTGATCAACATATAGGTATGAAAAACAACTTTTTACACACACGTGAACTTGTATATGGCATTTATATTTTATCTATTGTGATTTCGCGCATTCCGTCAACGAATTTTGTAACAATATAACATATTACTAATTGCCAGTAAAAATGCTAAGTATAAAACATAATGATACAAAAATTTCAGTGGTAATGATATAGTACCCATAGAATGTTTATTGTATGAGTAATAAGACTACAGAACTCAATGTGCAAAGCAAATGATAGATGAATTTGTGTGTAGTTAATATTAATAAACTATTAATTTGTTTATACCGATAAGTGAATAAAAACAGAAGACAGCTTTGCTATTACACTTTCATAAAGTATTCTCATCATATTTTTTAATACAATGTCCTTTTAGCAAATTCTGTGTATATAATATTTATTTGTTTGAAATTTATGTAAAATTTTATGTATATATCGTATGATTTTGAAAGACACTGTTAAAAATGTCAGCTTTAAAAGAAGTTGAATATTTATTTATAGAGAATTGTTTGGTTCTTTGCAATCAAGAACATGAGAATTTACACATATTCCACAAACTTTTTTACTCCTATCATTACATACAAACACAAAGACTGATACTGCATTTTTTTAAATTTGAAATAAGTTTATAATTCCTTTAATGAATTGTTCCACGAACACAAAAACTTTACTTGATCTTTTACTCCATTTGTATCATTTTTGTGTAAAACCAGAGCAATATTTAGTTGGGCTGTATACATATATCTATATATTTATATGTGTAAGTGTATGTATTGACAACTACATGCTGCATTTCCTTACTTCTTCAGAACAGGAATATATATTAAGCGACATATTCTATGTCACAGAAGGCAGACAAACTTTCCTATATATACATAAAGCAGCAAATAATAATGTTTCACTAAAGCCTAAGACAAATAATACTGAATTTATATAACTGCAAACAATTTGGCTATAAAAAAAAAAATGGGTTTATATTTAGTGACGTTATACGTAACTTGTCCTTAATTGTTAGATGTTAGATCGTTGCTGTACCAAAAACATAGCCTATTTAATGTACGAAGAATATCAATGAAAGCTATTATAACGAATGTTACAGTAAAAAAAAAAAAAAGAAACATTAAGTGAGTGTATAATGTGCAACTGTTATACATAAGGTTTGAAAGTAAATAATTATTGTGCTGTAAACAATATTTAAATGAATGTTTTAACTATACCATAGCATTGGTTGAAAATATTATTTGTTTAATAGGATATACGATATAATTACACGCATTTTCCTGCAAGATAGTTTTCAGAGATCTCGATAGAAATATTATCATGACCTAAGAGAAATTTAGTTTCAACTTTTTTAGTAATTATATTTGATTTTTACTCCAATTGTGTGATGTAAGTTAGTATATTTTTTTTTTAACGATACTAAAGTACTTGTTGCGTTTCTTTATTATCGCAATTGCATTCCAATAAATGTGTCGTTCATCAGTATTTTCATAACAACCCCTATGTGTTATAAACAGTGTATTCATTTATGAATGTTGTATCCTATTCTTAAGTACATAGATAAGTATAGCTAATGAATGTCATTTGATTTTTAAATGCAATTTAATGAGCGTGCATTGCAATAGACATATAGATGTCTTATGTTCCAGTATAATTCTTGGTTGAGCATTAACAAATACTATATACTCTACATGCAAAACGAATGTGAATGCAATATCCAAATGCTCTTCCATAAACTTTTTTATACGCGACTTTTATATTGTGAAAGAGGAGAAAGAACTTTACCAAGTTTGTGCTCTTACATCTGTGTACTTGTATCCTGTATAAGTAGTGTTGTACGTGATATATTACGATAATACGTATATAAAACGTATTGTCCATGACCAAGAAAGAAACTTCTGGTATTATATAATTCGTTGAGTTCAAATATGTTATTGACACTGTAGACTCTATTCTGAATTTTATGTACAACAAACTATAATCTAATCTGTAAGAACATTGAGATTCCTCGATACTCTATTTTCAATCCTAAATGAAATTGAACTAAAATTAAAAAGAAAAAAAAAAAATCGAAAAATACCCATGCTTAATTTTAAATGTTGTCCCTTATTTCACTATAAAGAACCACGTTTGAATAGAAATTAGCGAAAATTCCGTACCTTATTGCTACGAATATCGAGGAATTATCAATGAAATACTACAAACGTGTTGAAAAAGAAAACTGCCATGAAACTTTTACTAATGTACAACTTTTACAAGAAATAAACAACCAATTTCATGTATTCTGTCGTTCGTTTCTTCCTGCCACAAGGAATGGAATATCAGGACACATCACGCTATAGAACTAAATACGTTGCTTCATAAATATATTTTTGCATATCTTTTCTCAATAAACTAATGTCAAATTATTATGTATATAAAAAGCAGATATCTATATTATATAATACATTTGACTTTTCCTTAAAACTATCTTACATGTGATGTATCTTATACACGTGATACGATAGTTGGAAGTAACTGCGTGTATGTGTGTGTGTGTGTGTGTGTGTGTCTAATAAATTGTTAACTATTTGAAAACAATACATGTGTTCTATTAATATGTAGATTCTGGAACCTGTATGCTTTTCTTAAACAATATACCACTTAATGCTTATAAAATTAGGAACACATGTTATATCATTAAAAGGAATATTTATATAAGATTCATACTTGCAACTGTATACATAATGTAACACTGTATACAAGTTTATTCGATCTATTGCATAGTAAAACGAGAGTAAATATAATCTTTTTTAAACTCTTCTTTTGACAATTATGTTTAACTAAAGATCCAACTTACATATACTGTATAGAACTGGTACGTTTGCGAGGCTCGATTGGTTATGGTCTACAATCTCCGACCGACTGCTGTACGTATTTTCGGAGTATTATCGAGACCCTATACTCAGGCCAACGGGACGAGTCAGCAAACGTAAACAAACGTCCCTGAATGTGACTCGTGAATGTTCTTCGACAGCCAATGACTGCAGCCGCAGCATCGACCACGTGGATATCACACAAACACCTTATTTTGCTTCACCGACTCGTCTCGTTGACCCGAATATAAATTACAGAGATGGGTAATCAATGGTGGGGGTAGGTAGAGCAAGTGGAAAACCTTTCTTCTGCCTCTTTCGTCCTTCTCGCAAACTTACCAGTTATCTACAGTACGTATCAATATGCTCATATAAATGTTTAAATAAATGTACAAACCAATTATAGAGTTCTATAAAACACAACGAAGATAAAACGTTGACAATATATTACAACATTAATGTTTACACATGGCATACACTGGTATATGTCATTAGACTTGGCTACTTTTTCAATGATATGTTACCATGAAATTATCCGTTCACTAATTCTAACATACAAAATAATGCTAAGACTATAAATTAAAAAAATATACTCATTCTGACTATCGCATACTAGAATAAAAAATAAAAAATAAAAAAATTCCATTCTTTGGTTTAAATTGGTTTTCTAGTTAAAAGTAATATGATCTTCTTTACCGTTACTGTGAAAAAATTCGGTATTAAACTTCCATTAATTTTCATCACAGAGAAAATCGTTCTCATCGATTATATAAATTTGATTTAAATTTACGAGATTATCCTTTAAACGGTACAAATAAAACTTCTAGTATCGTTGATTTATTAGTTTATCGAGAACGTGCAATATCCGAAAATGTATTTTAAAATAACTAGGTACACAATATGTTTCAGTCCTTATATCAGGCAGCATTGCATTTATACCTGTGCCGTACGTTATATGTGTATACATATATGTATACATATATATACTATACATATATCGTAAGTCATCATAAAATCTCCGCACACAACGAATTATTTCCTTTCAGATTTTATAAAGCGACATTTTACGTTCCCAAAATAAAATAATTAAAAACCCAAACCCTGAGAATTTAGCTCCGAAATACTGATACTTTAAATTATTATAGCTAAGTTATTGCATCGTAACAATCTTTTACTAATGAGCACTCAGGGAATGAGAAAAGGAATGTTCGTTACGAAACAATATTTTAAAATAATAAGAAATGATACATTATTATAATGTCAACATAAAGTTAAAATATACTGTTTCTTATTTACGTGTTTTCGATATTTGGTACCTTGAGTACTTTGCTCGCTAAGTGTCTACCTACATGCCCGCTTAAGTGTGAACGTTGATTGGCTTTGCGATCAAAATGCATCTTTTATATTTTGGAATTGTCTTACTGCCAGGTCGACTGGTAAATCAAATTTGTAGTTGGTAAGACGATCGAGAGTGTGAAATGCATCTTGAAAACCTGTTTGTAATAACAATAAGCAAGTATTGCAATTGTAAAGCTTATATTTAAGATGACGATAATCTGCATACGAATATTTCAATATACCTGTTTTTACAACGTAACTCCATGATGTATAATGATTTTCGAGAAGATACTGACATTGTAAGATAAGTTTCAACCAAGCAACAAGCTTATTAGTGCTAGAATAAAACAGCAATGAGTCTTAAATTCTTGTTATTGCAAGAGAAACTAATAACGTGCTTACTCACTTCAGGGATGCACATATAAATGCTTTAAAATGGGAATCATAACTTCTTTTATATGGACTATGCGAGGCAATAATATTCCCAATAGTCGTTAATAAGCTCTGAAAATTAGAATACTTTGTTATGACGTGCATGCCGCCAAAGGGTATCATTACTAAAATATATTATCGGCACCTGTTTGGAGGATATAACTCTTCCACATGCAAGATCTAAATTAAAACTTTGGGATAATTTCTGTGCTGGACTAGAATTGTAACGATGGCCATTTTTAATTTCGTAATACTTCAGTATTAGCTCCCATGCATGCATTAAATTAGTAGTAGAAGAGTTTCTTTGGGGAAAACAACCCACAAACGGCACTACGCTATTAGAACGCACATCAGACATTAAACCATGTTGCATTAAATCACGTATGGAGGTTGCTAGGTGCTTCCTTACAGCAGATGTTACTCTAGCATTACAATGCGACGTGGAATCTGAATCCGAAGCATAATCATTGTCGTTATCATCATCGTCTTCTGGATGACGCTCACTGTCTGCGATAGTCTCTAGGACGTGCTCAACCGCAATATCTAATCTTGTTCTTAAATCGCGCCAATTATGTAGAGAATTTTTCTTAAAGTTTCTTCGCACCCGTTCACTACCGCATCCTAACTGAGACACTAGGAACATATGCAAAAGAGCCACGACCTTCTTAACGGTGTTAAGAGTTCTAGTTGTACTTTCCTCCTCTATTGGTTTCCTATTAAATGCTTTCTTAGCGTACGAAGTTGACGAAGCAGAACCACTAGTGTGGACGGGACACGCGCAAGTACACGCCAAAGTTTCTGTACTAACTTCCCCCTGAAGGTAATTTATAAAGCGCTCTAAATCTGCAATTTGCGTTTTTAATTGAGTCACTAGTTGTTCTTTCATTTTCAAAGGACTAACAATCTGTAAACAAAACTTATTAATCCTTCTCAATTTATCTATAAATATTGATTCGTTAATATACCCTAAGTAATTTACCTGACTTATAGCATAATCTACTTGCCATCTTAAATCATCAACTGGTAATTTACATAGGTCATCAACATTAAAATTTAACTTTTCTTTTAAATGATCTATAAAAGAAAATCACTGTAGGTGCTATGCAAGTACACAAGTACATATTTTAATATGACTTACTGATTATGATACTCTGCCGTTCTAATATCATGCTCTGTGGTAAATCCGCGTTACCAGTTTCATAAGCATATTTCTCTAGATCCTCTAACTGAGACTTTAACTGACATATCAATTCTTTCTGTTTTGTTCTTTGTAGCGCCATTTTAGATTCAACGTCAACATCGTTAATTACCCCGGATATCTGTTAAATTGTAAATGCTAAGCATTCAATTATCTATTTCACTTAATTATTGCATCACATACACAGTAAGGCACTTAAGAATAATTCGTTTCTTATTTTTAACGGTGTTGGTGTATCCGGCATTATTTAAAAATAATAAGAGGCATTGTCGCGGCCAAATTTGAGCCAACAAAATCTTATCACTATTTGAATACATAAAGAGCTTCTGAACTTATTCATAAATCGACATTTCTGTCAATGCTCCGAGGTTCAACAAAATTTAATATAAGCAAAGTTGGTGCATAAAACCTAACAGCGACTGAAAGTCTCTTCTCGAGCGTAAAGGAATATACTAAAATCAATGCATAGAAAGATATTTATTTCCCAGTACAACATAAATATTATTCCGATTCATAAACTAGTGATTTAAATAAAGATTATAAGAAAATAAAACATATATTACAGATTTGTATGTTTGTTGGTAGTATACAAGCAAAGCAAATAGTATAAACACAAGTTAAATACAGGGTGTTCGACCACCCCTGGGTGGCCGAACAGCCTATATATTGAAAACACAAAAAAAAAATATAAAACAGAAATAAATAATAAATATAATACCAAAAGATTAAACGAAGATACGAGGGATTTTCATATGGCTTACACTTTGCTTGCAGGACATTGGAGAAGTTGGAGTAATTGATCTACTATCAAATGATAAATCATTTGGAACATCAGGTATCCCTCTGAAAGCGAACTCTTCTAATTCTTTGAGCAATGTTTCTTTTTCATTCGTAGGTGCATCCACGATCTGACGTAAGCGAAACTGAACCTATAAATAATCTTGGTGTTTAAATCATATATTCTTGAAGACACAATGCACAAACTTTGAGAAATATTTAATACCTGAGCAAAATGAGTGGTTAATGCTATAAGGGATGAATTAAGCATCTCCTGTTCCTCCTCAAGCATTTTTAGCCTCTCCATGTCGTGTGACAAACTAGTACAATATATAAAGAATATTAAATAATACATTAAAGATCTTAAACTGTTTGTAAAACTATATTTCTTATAATTTGTTCACATACTTAATTACAATAGTAAGTAAACAATGTATTTACAGCTTGAATTGACAAGCTACTTACTTCTCCATGTTATCAACATATTTATATTCGTCGGCGAAATCATTGTCACCATCATTCGCTCCAACTGGCGCCCATCTTTCCCCGGATGGTCTGTCACTTTCATCCGAATTCTCAATATCCTCGTTCTCACAACCCTTATGTTCCTCAGTACTCATTTTCTTATCGTTTACGATCCGGATACTCTTCTAAAACCTTAACTCACATTTATTGATTCTCTTGTTCAGACTCTCGTTAGATACAGCCGAACGCCGTGACGCGTTTCGATCTCTTCATCTTTACGCGTCAAAAATTAGATTCCCGTCGCAAGACATCACAACGTTTGGTCTTCCACCTTTTTGTCACGTTTAATCCATTAATTAACTTCTGCGCACGTGTACGACTGTAAACGTCACTGGCCGTTGTCGATTATGTGCATTCTAAGGCGCATTCTCACGCCAAATACTTTCATCTATCGCAGATTTAGAATTGGCTCGTTTTTATCACGATAAAAATCCGTCTGTGATCGATTCAGGCTGTTAAGAACACTCGATAACTGTTCGTTACGCTGAATATTTTTTCTTCGTTATAAATTTGAATAAAACCGACCCATTTTACTGCTCGACGGCGTAAAATCTTCCGACGATCATCCGACTATCGATACGATGGAAAATCATCGTCGAGACGTTATGAACGAACCATTATACTTCATCGAAGGTTTTTCTTTCAATGAATAGGCTCAAGTCCGTTCAATTCCCATAAATGCGTCAGATTGTTGTACCGTCGGAAGATCCTTTGTCGCTCGATGGATCGCGGTATGTCGTCCTAATTCCGCGAAAGATTAGGATCAACGAGTGAACAGTGAGATATGTTCATGAGAGAAACCCTTGACAAAATCTATCGAATAACCTGCATCTCTTGACATCTACTTGGTGTCGATCGGTTTATCGTTACGGTCTGTGCGATTGTTCCCGTACCGTTTGAGAAAGAAACTCACCGACATCGTGGTGTTCGCGATGATGCGGCAGGAAATAACCCTGGCGAAGCCGGCACGAAAGAAACGGAACGTCGATGCACCTATTGACGAATGATTTTCAAGAATTCCATGAAACAATAGTCTTTAGCGAGTTTCGTACTGTTCACGGATTTGTCTACTTGCCATAGATATATCGATGTTCTTGGAGAATCATTCTTGAAGTATTATAGGTAATAATCGCATTTCGCTTCTTTTTTTAAAATTATTTTAGTAGTTTTGTCATGCCATGTATCTTGATTAAATTTTAAGAAAGATTCGTTTATAGTTATACATGAAATGGGTAGTGCTTGGTGGCAGTGCGCTGCATGTTTGAGAGCACAGGAAGAAGATATTTGTGAGTTGCATTTGAGTCACTGTAATCTTTATGATGTACCACCTGACGTGTTCATTTATGAAAGAACATTAGAGAAGCTGTATCTGGATGCCAATAGAGTAAATATAAATATTACAAGTTCGTTTTATATATGTTTTTGAACAACATTAATAACATGCTTTATTACAGATAAAGGATCTTCCACGGCCACTGTTTCAGTGCCATGAATTGCGAGTACTTTCCCTTAGTGATAATGAAGTCACCACGTTACCACCCGCCATAGCGTCATTAATCAACCTGGAATATTTAGATCTTAGTAAAAATAGTATGTATACACTGTTGCTTTTGCCAAAACTGTTTTGTTACAAAGTATTTCTTAATTCTTATCGATACTATATTTATCTTTTCAGGTATTAAAGAATTACCAGATAGTATAAAAGAATGTAAAAATCTTCGTTCTATAGATATCAGTGTTAATCCTTTTGAACGTTTCCCAGATGCTATTACACATATTGTTGGGTTACGAGAATTATATATAAACGATGCATACATAGAATATCTACCAGCAAATTTTGGAAGACTCTCTGCTCTGCTGACATTGGAGCTTAGAGAGAATAATATGATGACATTGCCAAAGAGTATGAGCCGTTTAATAAATTTGCAGAGACTTGACATTGGTAATAATGATTTCACTGAATTGGTAAGTTCTACTTTGATACAGTTAAATAATTTATTATACCGCATATATTAATTAATTATATTCTTTTAGCCTGAAGTTGTTGGGGATCTTATCAACCTCACCGAATTGTGGATAGATGGCAATGATATTAGACGTATACCAGTTAATGTCAATCAACTTTATCGTTTGAACCACTTTGATTGCACAATGAATGCAATTCATATTATTCCATCGGAAGTAGAAGGCTGGAGAGATATTTCGATTATGCATCTTTCTTCGAATGAAATTTACCAGTTACCAGATTCCCTTTGCTATCTACGTACAATTGTGACCCTCAAAGTTGATGACAATCAATTGAATGCACTGCCAAATGACATTGGACAGATGTCAAGCTTAGAGGAGCTTATAGTTACTAAGAACTTCCTTGAATATTTACCGTCGTCCATAGGACTTTTGCGAAAATTACACTGTTTAAATGCAGACAATAACTATTTGAGATGCCTTCCACCAGAAATTGGAAGTTGCACTGCATTATCACTGCTTTCGTTGCGATCAAACAATCTAACGCGGATTCCACCTGAACTGGGTCATTTATCCTCATTAAGGGTCCTCAATCTTGTGAACAACTGTATTAAATATTTGCCTGTGTCTATGTTGAACTTGAACAATTTGAAAGCTTTATGGCTGAGCGACAATCAAAGTCAACCATTGGTGCCACTACAACAGGAATTCAATTGCGAGGAAGATATGATGGTGCTAAGTTGTTTTATGCTTCCACAAAAACCACGACAGGAACTCGAACGTGAGTGTCTTCTATTTATCTACATAATATATAGATGTCTAGTGATAATATATATTGAATCTTTAATGTTATAAATAACTATTTACTAATTATACATATATGATACGTTATTGCTGCTAAGTGGATAATGAGGAGGAAGATGAGGAATGAAATGGTATAGTACAAAATTGAAGAAAAGTACATATTTCCTAGAGTGTATAATAATTATTACTTTCAAATATTTTGCAACTTTAACGTAAATATATCTATAATTACAATTTTATGTCTGTTACACATAGAAATACCGCCGGCTGTAGGATTAATTTCGAGTTCAATTGTTGGTACTGGAAAAAGGATATGTTTTGCTGCTGAGGTAGAATCCGAAATCCCTAGGCAACTTCATCGAGCACCAACTCCCTACCCTAAAGAGCTGCGCAACCTTGCTAGGCATGCCCGCAATTTACAGCATCAATCAGCTCACGATCAAAGAGTATGTATCATCGAATACTTGTTTATTACTCACTATATTGAATGATAAAATAAAATTGAAAAAATTTGAAATGAAAAATAGCACTGAGAAATATTAGTACTTTCAAGCATAATCAATTTGTGTGTACGTAATTTTGTATTATAATAAAAATAAGAATACAGGAAGAATGCCAATTGAAACTTACAGATGCATTTAGAACAGGAGACTATGATCAAAGAAGCTATTATTGCAAAAGCTACTACTACTCTGGACCTTGCTTCAAAAACTGGAACCTGCTTTCCGCAAAGTTTATTTAATAAGGTATTAATCAGAGAAGTATGAAAAGGAAAGGAAATTTATTAGATTTCAGATTAACTGTTGATGACATTGGAGCAAAATTTAATTGGAAAAGTGTTTCAAGTTTTCGATCACTAAAATGTACATACACAATTTCCTGTTTCTTCAGGGTTCACATTCTTCACTTTCACCTACTGAACGTCATGTATCAAAAGGGTACAAGAACGGTAGTCTTACGGATGTTGGAACAGAGCAATCCGTGTCAGAGGAATCCTCTGACGAAGCAAATAAAACAGTACTTGCGAAGGAAAAGAGTCCCGATATTCGAGAAGCGAAATATATTCGTAATCCCACGTCCGAGTATCTTTCTAAGCCTCCGACAGTAGCAGATTATGTAAATTCTACTTGGAAACCAGACGAATACTCGAAAGCGAATACAGCAAAAATTGTAGAATCCGAAAAGTTTGCTGTAGGTAGTAATAACACCGATCAAATTCACGTTCAAACCCCAAAAATAAATGAAGTTCCACCCGTCCCACCACCGTATCACATTGCTGCTGCTTTTTCGAAGAAGGCAGCACTTTTCCAACAGTTGACTCACTGTACGTCATTTATTCTTTCTAATTACTTTTGGAGTTTCGTACTACTGTATACGTTTAAAAAATTGGTTTCAAGCGTACATTTCACTATTTTAGCAGGTCAATCGGACACATCAACTATCGTCTCTCCTCAAATCGATATCGACATATCAAATTCAAACACACCTCAGGAAACTCAAATGCAAAATTACGATGGAAATGAAGAATCATTTAAAGCGGAAGAGTACGTGCGTTTGTGTAGTGAAACATTTTCGTCGGACAATGTGGATGTAACAAACGTTTTATTTAACAACGGGGAAACAAGTTTTTCAAATACACCAGATAAAACTAACGTGTTGACAGAACCGAGTGATGCAGAACAATCTTTTGAAGGGGATCGATCGTTGAAGCCAAGTCGAATTCCGGTTTTGAAGGCGAAACATTTAGAAATCACGAATTCTGTTTCGAGTATCGATCTATCGAAGAAATGTACGAACTCTTCCGTCGAGGATTACGAAACTTTAAAAATAATAAACGCATCATGCATACCCACATCGCCGGTGACTGGAAAAAAGTATCGAAGTCCGATCTCTACGCAACCGAAACTTTCAGATCGATCGAAGAAAGCAGCGAACGGAACTATCTTGAACAACAATACCTCGTGCGATAATTTAGCGTCGTTAAACACACTGAATTTGAACCTGGTTGCAAATTTGAACACAGATGGTCAAGATACGATTTCGAAAAGCATTTCTAACGAAATGACGAACATGAACAGTCCTACGAGCATAAAGAACGAAAGTAACTCCGGTCGAAGCACGCCAGTTTCTATTAATAATAAATCTTTGAGCGAGGTGGACAATTCTAACGCTAACAAGAATAAAGTTGCCGGAATGAATGAATTGCTAAATATGGAAAGAAAACCGAGATTTAAGTGGATGTTTGGCCCACACAAAAACGCTAATGTAGTATGTTTATTTTTTCTTACGAGAATATATAGGATATTTTTAAGCGCATTGAACAGTCAGCAATAATTAATTATTACGTTGTAGTTGCCTGTTCAAGTTAAAAAAAATCCAGGCCTTGGTTTTAGCATAGCCGGCGGAGTGGCAGGCGCAGAAACTGTAAGTTTTCAAATCTCCGAAAGGGGAAATATATTTTGATCTGCTTGTAAACGAACTTATGTTTTCGTCTCAGGGAATTATTGTGACTAAAGTTAATCCGGACGGTCCAGCTCAAGGTACACTTCGACCAGGAGATAAGATTTTAGAAGTGGATGGTATAGACTTCACCAAATCTGACCACAATAATGCTGTGGCTGTTCTTCGAGCTACCGGTGCAGTGGTGTCCATGATGATCAGCCGTCATCAATGACATCAAGTTAATGGACAAATTGTTTTCTTGTCACATACTATCGGTTCATGTGATTCAGACTGATTACATTTTACGTAAGTCTTTTAGTGTATATATTTTTTTATAATCGACATTGATGAAAACGCACGAAAACGCAGGAATTTTTATTTTGTTTGCTTCGAACGCTTGTTTTCACGGTAGTAGATCGTGCTCTTTCCGACTCTATCGAGCGACTGATTTGTACGACTGAAACAGCGTTACCAAAGGTGAAAGTGGAGATACTTATTTGAGGAAAAAACAAATAATTTCTGGCTTCCAGTGATCATGCTACTTATAAATGCGACAACTTCAGAAAATAAAAATGCAATAACAGATTTCAAATATAAGAATTCGATGGCTAGGCTATACCGTAGATTATGCGCGCGTTCCCTTGCACAATTATCGTTTGAAATGTAATGTACAAGAGGTATTTTTAAGATGATATTTCTTCATGGGCAAATTCACAGCTCACTCGTATTATTTGCCCACGTAAGTAACGTAAGATAGTAAGCTATTTAGTGAACAATTAGGGTAATAAGTTTTCTTTCCCTAAATTTCTAACTCCATAAACATATACTTATGTTGTTTTGTGGTGTTTGTTGTATTTGTGTCAACTCATTTGTTCTCTTTGCGGAGGGCTGACAATGTGCCAGAAACAAAATACTATTTATTAATTATATATATATATATAAAAAATAACTATATAAAAATGAATATACACATATATATTATGCATATATATATATATATTATATACGAAAATTATCTTTGATAGGCGGACGGGATTCTTACAGACATTTTTTTAATATTTTTTTATGCCTAGGAATGATTTTTCTATAAGATTCTATTCTTACTTTATAGATTTTTGATGCGCACAGAGTTCCACAAATAAACTTATTTTATTTATATTATTTATGATCTGTGATTCGTAAGTAGCACGTTTGGTTTTTATTTTAAAATGCATCTGTGAGAATCTTGATACAGTAGCAGGAGAAAAAAAAATATTCTTCTATGTGCCGTAATTTTATTCGTAACATTTATAATAATCTTTACCATTATTGGTCTTGAAAAAATATGGTTCAATGCAAATTTAATATTGTTTGAGTTTAAAACGAATGTTTTCGTTCAACGCATTATTTATAAGAATTAGATTTTTATATTTAATGTCTCGTGGATGACAATTTTAGATATTTTTGCTTGCCATTGATTCGTGATACGTCTACTATATTAAAGACTAAAATATATTTTAGTAATTCTTTTTTTTTTTTATCATAAATTCAGATGTTAAGTCATTAACAAAATGAAACTGTTATTGTTGTGGTTGTGAATTATTATGATATTTGATTCATTCTATACTAAAGGAACAAATGTATGTACCTTGTAGAAACTGTTTTTAACAGTAGTTATTGATATGGCATAATGCCAGACCGTAAGATAAAACACTACTTTTCTATGTTAGCGGAGCTGTACCGAAAGGTGAAAGTTATTCATGTAAATGGGGTAGAGCTGTGAGATAAATGTTTAGAAAGGTTGTATGATGATGTATGGCACAAATGAACTGTTCATGTCGAGATATCAGTTATAACAAGTACACTCTTTGTATCCCAGAACTTTTACAGCAAGATAACAATATTGCACTTCACTTTACCTCGCATACCGAATAATTACAATGGATATTCTCGTTATCTATGTTCTTTTCTTTTTTTTTTTTACAAATTTAGTTGTAGTTTTAATTAATTTTGCTAAGTATAGGAATATTTAGGCGATATACGTTTTATGCATTTTTGAAAATGTATTTAAATATTGTATGTATTGCTTGTTTTATAGTTTCTTGAGTATTTTGCGAAGTAGATTTGAAATGGTTTTTTTTTTTTCATATTAATTTAAGCATAAGATTCTGTGGTAATTTCATTAAAAACTCCGTCACATGTACATGTTATGGTTATAGTTACAACATGATAGCTATACAATGGAAATACATATATGTATGAATGCGTGTGTCGAGCATAATTTCAAATGTATGTAAAATATTCTATTCTATAACTGTCTAAGCTTCAGGTTGTTCAGTATGTTCTTCGAAGCTACGATGAAGCTTGAAACTTCCAAAATTGAAAAGTATAACAGAAAATGTATATTTTCAGAAAGATTTCCTCCGAGTAAAATCTTATTCGGCGAATAAGAGTTTCTCCTTCTATAAAGAAAAATATGTAGAGATCGCATTTTGATATATTTTCGAAACAAACTAAGAAAAAAAAAAAACAGATTATTTTTGATCCTCACTTTTGCTTATGTATTTTGTGAAAGTAATTTTTAATGACCATATACTCAATTACGACGTATTCTTAGTCAAAGTTATACATGATTCAAGTACTTCTAATTTAAGCTATATTGACAAAACTGATATTATAAAAAGTATGATGTTTTCATCACTTTCTTGAGGATACATAGTTCTATTATATAAAAGCAGCTACGTATTTAAATTTCTGGACTAAATACATTACCAATAGTAATCTGTATACCTAGTCATATTGGAAAATAAGAGTATGATTGACGGTGAATTGTAGTTTCATCTAATTATGTTTGTATTTATATTAATATTTTGTGTAGTTTTTTTAAATATGAGTTTTACTTCGTAAGAACTAATAATAAAGAAAAATGGTATATTTATATATGCATTTACGTTTAAAGAAATACTTTCATATAGTTGTTCATAGTAAGCGTACACATTGACTTTTGCATGTGCATTAAGTTTCTCAACAGGATTAAATATTTTGTTTAAAATATTACAATATTATTGTCACTAGTTTTGCATTAGTCTTTTATAAGGCAAATTGATTGTGACAAAAATTTTGGACCATGAGCACACATATACAATCTTTTCTACTACTCTACTACTAAACAGACTGACTACTTTTTGAGTAAATATTTATGTGGCATTTAAGGGAATGGAATGACTGTACAGGATATGTGTGATTGAAAATGCGATACATTAAATTATGTATATACAAATTACATATATACTACATAAATAAATAAGTGGTCGTACTTGTTATAGAGACATTTATTTGGGTTACGATTCTCTTACAAATTCTTTTCTCTGCTGAATTTTTATCTTATAATAACGATTCTAATGCTTCAAAGATGAAATAATCTTTTATAAAGAGCAATCGTTACGCAAAGATATTAATCGGTACAGCCACTTCCTTAACATAGTTTTTGTATATCTTCCATTCGAATAATTTGTATGACAATGTGTATAGATTAATGTACAAAACTGCTCACAGTTCGACTGGTCACCATATAATAACTACCATACAGTTGTAATGCATTGAATATGTTAGAAAAAAAAGATATTTTACCTTTATCAAAAAGTCCTAGTTGGTTGTGCAGCAATAAATAAATTAATATTTACGTACAAAATGTTTTCAGACTTTTATTGTACTATATAGATTCGTTAAGCCCTCCAAAATTTGTATTAATAAAATGTTCAACCGTTAAAATTATTATACGTATATGTGTATAAATATCGTATATGACTCACGTATTGAGCAAATGAGTTCATCGGTATATCTCGTTGAACATATAAACGTGTTCACGCTCCTATCAACAGGAATACAGGATTTTCGACGTAATATTTCCAAAGATTCGAATACCTTGCCATGGTGACGCCGTCCACTACTCGATGATCAGCAGCCCAGCTAACCGAAATTATATTCGCGGCTATCACATTTTCTTTCTTGTCGAATCGCGGCAGTTTTTGCACTTTTCCAAATGCACCGATCACAATTTGTGGAGGTAGGATCACCGGTTTCGTGTACGTACCACCCACCTACGAACGACGGTTAAAAAATAATTTAACCAGTATATTCATGACACGTGACTAACAAATCGATATAAACGAATTCTAAATCGATAATGTAAGAGACGTTAAATAACGATCGTTCTCGATGAATCACAATTAAACTTAAAGCGATCGAGAGACGCAGTTAAATAATTAACAAATCGAAACCTCTTGATTTGGAGGCAATTTAAATTTCACGTTGGAAATAAATAATTAAGAGCCGATATTAGGTAGTGAAAATATTATTCGCGTTCCAGAAATTTGCTTCAGCGAATCCACGTATGTACTTTTACCATATGTATACCATATCATAGTTCGAGTTGAACAAATTTTATTTACGAATAACGAATAAAAATTTTAGACTAATTCGTAAACGAACTTCTATGTACGTTTCATCCATTCATTTATAAATTAGAATCTGTTAACGAACTTTTTAAACTAATACATATTCGGAAGAACAAAGTGTGGGCAAGTTACTAGTTTACGAATGAACCTAACATTTTTATTCGTTATTCGAAAATAAAATTTGTCCAACTCTATACGGTAATTCTACCTGTACAGACGTAGTAAATTAATTTATCACAAGAATTCATGAAATAATGCAAAATTAACGATCTCAAAAGGTTAGAATTGCAAAGTAACGTCATACGAGGTCACTTCATGGAACCAATTCATTTTCCTTGACATCTCATCATAAGATATAATTTGTTAAACTCTTGAGTGCAAAATCCTGTCATCCATTGATAACAACAATTGTTCTTATCTAATTAACCAAAAATGGACTCAATATTGACGTTGTTGTGAAATGAATTAACGATTTACGTAAAGGTATCTCGAAGAAGCAAGTGAAATTTTTTTTTCACATATTTTTGTATATATTGTAAAATGTAAATATTTTACCCCCCAGATTTAATTAAACAGTTAGTCAGATTGAAATTATTTAACTCGATTCAAAATATTTAATGGAAATAACTGGACTTACGACGCCAATATTCGACAACGAGAATGTCGTGTCTGTTAAGTCTTGAAGCGGTATCGATGCTTTTCTCCCGAGTTCCTGAAGCCTGTTCAGTTCCTTCGCGATTTCCAGGATGCTCAGGTTTTGAACGTTTTTAATATTCGGTACCACCAAACCGTCAGGTGTGTCCATAGCGATACCGATATTATGGTTTTCCACAACCCGTATCGTTTGATTATCTTCGTCGAGCCACGCGTTCAGATTTGGTACTTTTTCCAACGCTCTGGAGGCTGCCTTCACAAAGAAAGGCATCAGACTTAAAGAGACACCTTGCTCCTTTAGGGAGTCCTTTGCTTCGTTTCGGTAATTCATCAATTCATTAATGTTGCACTCGTCGCTGTACACGAAATGCGGTATGCTCTGTAAACATTTTATTTTGCATAGATATTTACCTGGAGGTTCAGTAATGCACGGCCAACGATTCCACGATTTATCTTCACCATTTACACAGCAGAAAAAGAAAGAGAAGCGATACAACGAAAGGAAACAAGACATGCAGTACAAAGAGATACCGCAAGAAGATAATAATCATGCAAAAAGGTAAGTTTTAACTTTCCGTATTTTTCATCTTATCTTTTTAAAAACGATACCAATACATTGCTGGGATTCTTCCGAGTAAAACAAGTTCAAACATCATATAAATTAGATTATTTTTAATTAACTTAATACACTCGCTATGCTAATTTTTAGGTTCTTCATAACAGTTATTCAGAATGAAAGTTCTTCATGACAGTTTTGATCAGAATTTAGGAAAGTTAACCATGCACTACTGTAATCGAACGTTTACTCAAGGCGTGCAATTAACGAAGAAATATACGCTTCATATTTGGGCATTAAAAACTAACGGTGGAACGAAACGATTGAAACGCTAGCTAGCATTTCCTGTAACGGTTTAATCGTATCTCGTCTGTCAACGTTAACGTAGAAATTCGGCCGAGTGCCTGGCGCAGAATCGATCGCTATCAATCGCGAGTGTCAACGTCAGTTTTAGACAACGCATCTCTATTATCGGTTTCCCGTGACTCTCGTGCGTTTCGACTGTTGACGGTACGGTCCGGGATTACGCTGAAAAACGCGCCGCAGGATATTAAATTACAACTTTTTTTCTCTCGTTTTGTTTTCGTTCGCTCGTCGCCTCAACTAAAACCCTTTACGTCACGGTCATTTAATCGCGGGGCCAGTTTGCTCATTGCGTAATTAACTCGCGCTTCGCCGCGCATTGTTTTATAACGATTAACCGACCGTTTATTCAACGACCACACAACCACACGGGGTAAGCGATAGTCGAAATTCTGCTAATTTTGTAATTTACACGTGGTCCGCATTTTAAACAGCCGTAGTTTATTAATATCACGGCCCACAGCGCACGTGTTATGACCCTAACCGAACAGTTTTCCACTATCGCGAAATGTGAACCATTGTAATAATATACGCGAACGGTAGTAAAATTCGAGCTCTTTGTTCAGACTGTCGCTTACAAAAATGTCAGGGTCGCCTTATTTCAAGGCATTATTTAAATCGTTAGGTAACAGAATGGTTCGCGATACCAGTTACAAACGACACGGAAAGCAAAAGAAATGATAAGATGTATTTCCTCGGAATTTTCGCTTTTACGATTTTTCTTTAAGTGCTTGAATATCCAACTTACCAAGGATTGCGTCATCGTTTTCCACATATGCTTGCTATAGCCTTTTATCGACATCACTTTCCCGATTGTTGATTTTTCCTCGACCTTTTTTCCCGCGGAACTAGCAGAAATTTTTTCCAAGTGTGCCAATATATCCTCCTTAAGTACCCTGCCACCTTTGCCCGTAGGAACTACGTCCTTTAACTTGATATTGTTCTCCATGGCTATTCTCCTGACCGCGGGAGTAGCCAGTGCTTTTTCTACCCCATTTAGCGCCGCGTGTTCCATTCCCTCGCTCGCCAGGGTGTTCGTATTTTCAGGCTTTGTCGTCGTCTGCGGTTTGTCTTCGACCTTTTCGGTTTCCGTATTCCCATTATTATCGTCGTTCAATTCGATATCCAGTAATGAATCGCCTATCAGTGCCACGTCGTCCACTTTGTAGTGCAAGGTCTTAATTAATCCGTCGTAACGGCTAGTAATCGTTACAGACGCTTTGTCGCTTTGGACCTCGCAAATGTTATCGAATTGAGACACCCGGTCGCCTGCTTTCACGAACCTATGCATTCAAATGCGTCAGGTACAGTTCAGTTGTCTTCACGCTACATTTAGGCTGAAACACACTGTCGCCAGTCGATGCATGTACAGGGGACGAACTTTCTGTACATATAACAACACTATGATTCGTCCACTGTATCTATCGCGTTACGTCTCGTTATCTGGAAGCGGCTCGTCTCGAATAAGGAAACCGATTTTCTTAGGAATAAATACTTTTAAGGGAAAACTGGTCGATAATTGTGAAGGATTCGTCGGGTATGATAGTTAACGGAAAATTCATTGTTTTGCTCACCATTCTTTTATAGTGACGTCTCGAATTCCTTCTCCGATATCCGATAGTTTGAAGGGAACGACGGTTCCGCATCGAAAGCAGCTTACAGAAAGGAATCGACATTTTTGATCGTGTACATTCCTACCCTAAATAAACATGGATTTCTTTGTGTACTCGTCAGCAATAACTTGAAAATCCTTATTCTTGCCCAAGTAATTGTGTGTATCTTTTATCGTAGATTTTATATTGGAAGCGTCGAAACGAAGAAATTGCGCGTCGAGTATTTATATTAAACCCGAACTTCGAGTATGTACAGTGATGTTCTTCGGGTTGAGATTCGGTCGGAACCGGGCTCTCTCAGCCTGAAGGACAAGTAGATGAAATTAAATCGCTTTTATTTTATCTCCAAGTAACGTTTGATCGAGCTATGCTTCTATTGAGGAAAAGAATGCGAAACTGATAAGAAGAATGAACAATTTCGACACCCTTTTTACGAAAGTATAGCATTATAAATTCAGTAACTCAGTATTTTTCGAATTATTTACTATTCAATTTTTTTATACCTTAAAAACCTTTGTCAATTAAGAAAGAATCGATAAACAAACAATACCGTGGCTCTAACGATAACGAACATGAAAACACCTTCCGTAAATGTTAAATAAATTTTGTTGAAATATATTTTTGCCTTTATTTGCAGTAGATTTTATATTTGTTTGACGTGTAAAAATAATAAAAATAATTCATATCATGATATATAAAAATGCTATTTCTCATTGAAACGAGGGAAATATGCATTCCATGCAATTTAAAATGACTAAAATGAACATAATATTGTATCACGTAGTAGTATATTCGATTTGCGTAATACATTCGGTAGCCATATTTAATTTAGAATTTGACTTGTGCTGGCTCGTTGGAAGTTGTAAAGCGAATAATAATCGTCACGTAAACAATCATTTGAGGATAAGCTTTAGAGAAGTAAACGTAAGGTAATGCAACCACCTTTTGAATAATTTAAACGATTCTCTAATTAAAGCGTCCATTCACCGGTAATTTATTCCCAGTCTTCAAGACGGTCGCTAATCTTAATGGAGTCGTCAGAGAGAACGCTTCCATCTGTAAGTGATTAACAAATTACACGATTTATCGTATTTTCTAAGATTTGCATTTAAGAAAAGGAAATACATATCGCGATACAGTTGAACACAGTAATTTCCAAGTGTGTAGCAAATATGTAAATTATACAATTATGCAGTTGGAGAATAGATTATATATTGTGCAGATTACGTATTTCCAGAACGTTTTGTTACATATTCGATCGAGTCCGTCTTTATAACACGAATGCTGCAGTCAGCAATTATACGGTATCGAAACTTCGAAACTGTCGACGCGATGCAACAACTAATATTGAACCGAACACGTATTCCACTCAAAGCAGAATCGAAATCGACGGAAATTCACCTCGGAACCGACGCGATTCCGTATGAAATCTCTTTTATATCTGAACGCAAAATGTGGACGCTTCCGCCCAGCTTTGATCGGTCGGGTACACCACGTGTTAATTTCATTTCTGTGCCACGCTACGTGTTTATTGCTTTAGTAGTAGTTCTCTGTCGTATAATTTGCTTGGGACCACAAAATGGAATGGCGTCCTAAGAGCCGGGGTCCCCTTGCAGATCATATTGCCACTCTAAAGGTTAAACAAGCTCGATATAAACTGAATATAACAAGGTTGCTAACCAATTCACCGCGTCACAGTGATTAAACACATCAAACGACACGGCTCGCCGAATATTTGCACTTTCCTGTGGTTCTCTTCGCACGATATTAAACACGATAAACGTTTCCCGATTCTTTGGTGACAGTATGTACATTTACTGGTACGGACACATAAATGCCGGAATTGGATGTAAACACGGTGTCGAAGATCACCGAGGATTGCCGAGGTCGTACGACGCTATTCTCTTTGTGATTTTTATGGTGGACGATATTACGATTCCTCTCGAAGAGTGTCGCTTTTTGTTGTGTTATCTTACCAAACGCGCTAAAGCCACGAACCGCCAGGTTAAAGCCATCGTGTCGAATTTGTTCCTGGATCTTAGTGTAAATGTTCTTTCCCAGAGGAAACAACGCAGCTATCGAGAAAACTGGAAATCGTCGTGTAGCGTGAAGACTGTCGGGAAGAACTTTCGGCCGCGCGTGTTGTTATCGTATAAACCGTTATCAAAATCTATACGTATCCCGCGTGCTGGCTCGCGGCATATTACGCAACGACGCTGGCACTGGTTGAAAACATTCAACAGCAAAGAACGCGATTCCTTTCATCGACGTAAGATCGAACCCCGAATTATCGTGAACAGTACGCATCATTTACTAATTACGTTTTCTCGCAAACTCGATCGTCGAGGGTCGAATACCTCTCTTTAGGTTCTATCCGTTGGGGAAGGTCAATATTGTTGATAGTCGAACGAGGTTTGTCTACAGCCCGATACGGTTTTAATGGCATTCAGAATGTGCATCGACTGTCTATGCAAATGAAGGTAGCCGTAACTACCAATTATCCTTGAATGACACTTTGACGATAAATACTGGTATTTTTGCACTGTTGCACTCAAGTTCCTAATAGAAAATGGAATACAGTAGAACTGCATTTTTCTGAATGCAAGAAAAAAAAGAATTTTTCACATATAGATAAATAATTGGGGAAAAAGCTTAATCATGAAGTGTACAAATTATTGGTTAGAATTTGTTGATCAGAGGCAAATTTATCGTTTTTTAATTTTATAAGCTAAATATTATAGTTATACTTTCTATCGATATATGGAATTAATTTTATGCATTCGAAGATTATAAATACGAATTACTTTGAACGTTAAAGACATTGCAATTCATTGCAGATCATGTTTAATTTCACTTGTACTTCATTTACATATCATTTACATACTGTGTTTAATCTAATCACTGTGTTAGCATGATTAGCATAATTCTCCATCGTCAGTATTGTAGCTTTCACTCTCTAGGCGATACTAACTTTTCGTTATGTTATCTTAGTAATGATTTCATCATCAATGTTGATTTCTCGACGTTCAGAAACATTATTATCCAACGTTCGAATAACTGGCGCGTCGTTCTGCGGTTGTTCTGATAATAAGAGTTTGGTAGCGAATTGAATTGGGCAAGGAGTCAAATTTCGTACGAATAAATGGAGTTCCACCGTATTCGGGATTTTGTGTCAACCTATTTCGGGCGATTTACCAGAATATTTTCGAAGCTCTCTCGTAGTTCACGAAAATTGGGCCCTGCATGAAATACGGGTCATGAATATTCTTATAGGGGTCGTCGTCTGGCAATAAGACACGCACGAATGCAAAATCGACTTTATAAAATGGAAGTGACGCGTATAAATGCAGAACGCACACGCATAATGTTTATTATATTAGTGAAAAAAGGTGATTAAACGAGCTTTGTTTGTGCCGCGTTTCCGTCTTCCTTTCAATTATATGTAGGGTGTTTGGCCACGCCAAAAAATTTTAATGGGAGATTCTACAGGCTAAAATAAGACGAAAATCAAGAATAGCAATTTGCTGATCGAGGCTTCGTTAAAAAGTTATTAACGTTTAAAGTTCCATACTGACCAGAAAATTTTTCGACGAAAAAAAAGATTTCATATCGTTTTGAAAAAATTATTTTCGGTTGCGGGGGACAATTACAATCACTTTTGGTGAATAGACATACCCTCGAAATCCTACTCACTTTCGAGACAAAAATTCGAGTAGGCGCCTTAATTTTTCAGCGAAATAAAAAAATTTCAATTCGTTCTAAAAAAATTATTTTTAGTTGCAGGGGTCAATTACAATAATTTTTGGTGAATAGACATACCCCCGAAATCCTACTCAATTTCGAGAAAAAAAATTCGTGTAGGTGAACAAATTTTATTAATAACTTTTTAACGAAGCTTCCATCAACAAATTGGTATTCTTGATTTTCGTCTTATTTTGGCCTCTAGAATCTCTCATGAAAATTTTTCCCATGGATGGCCGAACACTCTGTACAGTGAGCCACGAAAGTAGTTGAACGCTCGCTATTGAAATGTTGACACGATTGCAATTCCTTTACATCGATCTGCATATTCTGAGATCGTAATCTAACCATATTATTTGTTGGAAACATAAACCGAGAAATTTATGACAGCACGCCGGTACGATATAGTATTTTTAGAACTCGAATCTAACGGTTACATTTGTATTGTTTAACGTTTAAATAGCGTGCGAACGAATACGTTCGCGAGCCATTCTATACGCTTCACGCGTCGCTTATCGAGTAACCGATCAAGTACGTACCTTTTAGTTGAAAAGCTCGTTGGTTACACTTCTGGGCTCATCTTCTTACGTAAAAAGCAGAAACGCTCGAGTTCTGATCGATGAAGGCGGGAATAAAAGATACCAGGTGGATCGATATAGCCGGATAAGCTAATCGGGATTGGACGAAGTAATGGAATTCGGTGCTTTTCGCTGGATATTTTTATCGCCCGTCGCTAAAATGCGATCTAATTAAGAATACGCGTTCCAGAATTAGCCGACAGTTGTTCTGTTTCACCGAGGTGCTTCCAGGCGGGACAGGCCCGGTTGCACGTTATCTCTCAAGATATTAAAACTAGGCTTCTGGATGCAATCGGTTATCCGGGACACGGAGCCGAAAGCGCCGGATAATTTGATTCTCGTTGCGCTGCTAATTTATCGGTCGCTAAAATCAGGTTACAGTTCCATAAGTCATGAAGCAAATGTGACGCTTGCGTCATCGAGTCTATCTATGGATTTTGTCATCGTTTCGAACGGGATGCGAATTATTTAGCGGAATGTTTCGATAATGCATCTGCCGGCTTTTCGCGATATACGGCAGCGGGCAAAAATTTAAGACGATGCATCGGAATTTCGGTTATATCGAATCGTCGGTCCGTTACTGTGCGGCATAACGATCGTATTCACATTATGGATCTGGAAGGCGGGTTTGTTAATTTTAATGCGAACCAGCAAGGAATCGGAGGTAGGTCGTATATTTAATTAGTCCCCGGAGTTTTATTCGGAGTGGATATTTACGATACGTTCTGGATTTAGATTCGGGACGGGTATTTAATTAAGTTTTTGGCGATATTCGACGGAGGGAAGCGGGGCGATGCCAGGTTACGTCGATAATAAATTCAAGAGCTCGTTTCGACGGGGCAAATCTATTTCAATGCTTTCGGTGTCATAATAAAAGATACAAAGTTATCTTTTGTACGATACTTCGGATTTAGGGCTTCACGGTGAATTATATTCCCCATCTTGCGTTTACGGCCGTTACGCTCGTCTTCGACGACAAATAATTTCCGAAGCGCTCGTAACAACTACTCGACTCATTCGCATACGTAGTCAGAGAAACGTCGTCGAAGATTACAATTTCAGGCATCGAACAACGTGAATCTTATGTAACAAATAATGCGCTCTGCGTCGGTTAAAAATGGGCTCTAATTTCGAACTAAAATGTACTACGTTTATTCGACTACTCTATATAGTTATCAATTTTTCTCCAATCTTTGATTCGAGATACTTTCCGAGGTTTTCTTTTTCCAAAGATTGACTGCTGTCGTAAAACTTTCCCAATCGTTTGCGTTTGGAATTGGAATCTTCAAGGTTCACGTTCGCGTTTACAATCGTTTTGACTAGTTGGAAATGTAACGCTCTACGAACGTATTCGGCATTGCAATTTTTTTTTTTTTTACGCGTGTCTCGAGCTATAAACTAAATGTCTTTCGGCGTCTTAGACAATGAAATTCAAGTGTCGTAATTGTACAAGTCAACTGTGTATCCTGATATTGGTCGAGCCGGGTGAATGTTCGCCTTAAAGCGATTCGTTTATTGTCTACCGTTTGTGGAAGTAATATTATACAGTAGAACGTCGATTATCCGAGCATTGTTTATACTTCGATATCTGCATATGTTTCGTAAATATTAGACATAAATACATAATTAAAATTACATGTTTCACTTATACTGTGAATGACAAAAAAAACAGAAAGTTGTTGGATTTGTAGTTTCGCCATATTTATAATATTAAAATGGCGATCAAAGCAATAATTAATAATTATATCGGATAACAAGGAAAATAAGTAATATATATTTATAAAAATTATTCTGTTACGTGTTTCCAACTTTGATTCTCCTAAACCGATCGACCGAAAAATCGTTTATCGGATCGAATTTGTCTTCCTATTAGTTCGAATAATCGCCGTTTTACTGCACTGAATTTGCACGTCACGTTGCCGACCTAGTTCAACATTTTCCGCTATTTTTGTTTTCTGTATCATCGATTCCATTTGATTCTGTGTATTCACGCTCGCGAATTCCGGTTATTGTTCTATAGTGTCGTACGGCGATCTATCGAATTGCACATCATTTCTATCCTTTATTGACTGTTGGTAATTAACCGTGTCGCGAATACAGAACTTGAAAGCGGACGAAAACATGGTCGTAATTGCGATCAATATCGTCGTTCAACAATCGGCTTACGATAAACATCTGAGACAGGAATAATAGAAACGATTCTTTAAGACGTTACAGATGCTAATCGCTTGCTGAAACAATAGTAATTAAAAGGGGACGGTATTGTTTAGAACAGAGTTAGGCGTCTTGGAAGCTTTTTCTTCGCGTACCATCGAAGTTACTTTCGAGGATCATTTGACTAGAAATCTGTTTCAGAAGTAGTATAAATATTGTATAAAAAGCTTCGAATAAACGTTAAACGTACTTGGTTATCAGTTGCTGAAATAAATTATTCGTTGTTTTCGGGAGAGAAATACTTGATAGGTGACCTGCTGCGTTGGTACCAGCACCATATTATAGTTTTATATTAATAACATAATATAGTAGTATTGAAGTAATACTATAGGCGCACTGTAGTTTCGCTATACTCCATCGGTGCTAAAGTTGTACAAGGACGTAGTCAGAATTTTTCAACTATCCCGTATGCCACAGCCTCGCCTACGCCCTTGAAGTTATATCATATTATTATTAGTATTGTTGCACCATAACGTGGCAGTAGTAGCAACGCAATAGCACAGTAACGTGACGATACCATAATGGTACAGTAGTCTGTCCAGGTCTGGTTAATATTTCGTTACAAAGATCATGGAAAAGCAATAAATAAACTATACTGTATCAAGTAAGAACAGCAGAGTTGCAAATTAACTTTGCGAGAGGTAAATTCGGATCTAAATTTAGGCTCGTCCCCGAATAGTAACAAATTTATCTCTAATTGACGCAAAGAGAATTTAATATCGAGGAAATTGTAAAATAAATTAACATCTTACGTAATTGTACCTCGTGGGAACATATGAGATCTCGCGCAACAATAGAATATATCTATTATATATATTTATATATATATTTATATATATATATATGTGTGTATATACATTTCGCGGAATGTAAATATTTTCTCCTTCGCATCGTCAACGATCTACGTGAGAAGAATGGACAATGAACGTCGATCACTCGAACAAGCTAATTACATTTGCGTGAGCGAACCGTTTTCGACAGAATAATTCCTGGCACGAGCCGCGATTTAACGACGCGTCGCGAGAAAACTCGAATCTGTCGTCGTTATTAGCTTCGATCGAATTTAATTCGCGACGCGCGGTCGATGCGACTTTAATCGCGTCAATTAGTCGGTTCGTTAAACCAGTAAACGATCCTACAAACATTGTAAAATTCATTTGCGTTTCCGATTGTTCCCCTCCCTTCGTCAATGTTTCGTTCGTTATCATAGTTACGAGAAGTGGTCGCAGTAGTATTTTATCGTCGATTTGATTCAAATTTTTTTCTGCCGGTTCTAGAATTTCGAAGTAAAAAGTAACGAAGAAATGTCGTTTTCGATTTTCCTTGTAACGCCCGCGGTCTCGTGCCATCGCGGTTTGCGTGCGTAATACTTATACATATGCGTGTGTATATCGTTCATATATAATTCACGAAGTTAACGTTAACAGTAACAATAACGATAACAGTGATCACGATACGAATGATCTCGATATACGGGTACAATGATTGAACGTGTACGACAATGACGATATGATCAGTGTCGTTATTAGACAATAGGCAACGTAGGTTTTTCATTAAAAGTTCGTCGTCCATCCATTAGACGTTTGTCCTGTCCCTTGCTAGTTACAACACGATTCTAAGCTTATTTACATTCCCACGCGTTCCCGTAGTCTTTTGTATGTTACTCCGATAGGACTTTCTTTCAGCTACCTTCGACTGCCCGAGTCTATGCAAATAACTTAAGCCTAGCCGCGACGAGTCCGTCGAGGATTCAAAGTCGCGAAACGCCACGCGCCTGGCAAGAAGAAGGAAGAGCTTTTGTCGGGCCAGGCGTACGATTCTTTGTGCAACCGGCCCGTTATCAACGGACGTGCTCGTCCTTTTTCTACCTCGATCTAATGCACAACATTTCTCTGACGACCGGCGGAGAGAATCCTCTTTTTATTAGTACACATTCGCACTATTCACTCGCGGCCCTTCCGGCCGGTGTTATCGGTTGGCTACTGGCCAGGACACAGCAGCGGTCTGAAATCTGAATTATGGGCCGCGAAAGTAGCTCTATAGCTCCGCCACTTGCTCGTTATTAGTTTTGGCCGATGTGTTCGAGGCTAGGGAGATCTCCGTCACGCCCACCGACGTCTGCACGGCGGCCGTCAGCGCGCTCTGAAGAGGCATGCTCTCGCTGGTCAGCTCACAGCCAGTGTCTGAAACGTGCATGTATTGGACAATCGATACCGAATTCGCGGTATAAGATCATTCGAAACCGGGTATGGGGGAATTTTATTTGAAATCTGTGCCCCTAAGACGCCACGCCTCGTTCCATCTACCTCGAAAACGAATTCACGATCGGAGTATCGACCTCTCTGGACCATGGTAACAGGCTATAATTGGCCATGTAATTAACGAAACTTTCGAAACGACTATTTTGCAAGAGGCACAATAGAAGTCGAACAGCAGCGGCCTTCAGAAAAGCAGTTTAAAGTTTCCAGAGCCGGTACTCGGAAATGAAAATTTCCACTATTAGTTTCAAACTCGACTCGAAGTTTGAAAGAGCAAACGCAGTTATCGACCATTGCGCGCAGAAGTGTACAAGTCCTCTGACGAGGATCGGAAGTTAAACTGCTTTAATTGAAATTGATACTCGGACGGGCGGTGGCTTGAAAAAATTTCATCGCGCGTTCATCCGCGACGAACCATTGTACGATTTTACACGATCGTACAGTCACTCTTCGAAAAGTTCAGGGGAAAGCTTCCAAGATTGCTTCAACGTCGAAGATAATATTTAAAATGTCAAGAATACCTTGCAACGAGCAACAGAGAACTGTAAAAAAGGAGTTTGAAATTAAGGTGCTTGCGAAGCAAAGATGACAAGCTTGCAGAGTGAAAAGGAGACGAGTCTAGGAGAGAAGCACTTGCAGTTTAGATATTAGTTAATAACATATTTCGGTTGATCGATAACTGGGAACGAACCTTGGAGACATTAGCTGTAGGAAAAATAGTTAAACGATATTAATGCATTTTGTAAATTGGCTGTGTTATTGTATCGTGGAGGGAGAACGCGCAGAGAACCGTACAACCGCTTCTTCGTGGGGTGCGAATCCTCTTAAATCCTTCGAAAATTTAATACCTTGTAATATCCGGCCGGATATAGGAACGTCTGTGCGAAGTCATCCATGTAACGTGTTTCGCGAAATCCCGTGTAAACGGCAGATCGAAGGTATCGACGCGAGGAAAATGAATTTCTTCGGCTGCGCTCGACCATGAAAGATTAAGCAAGATTTCAATTTAACTTTCGAAGATCGACCGACGGATGTCCAGCGTCTGCGAAACTTTCATATTTATCCTGAACGATCGTACTCCGAGCGGATACGGGCCCGTTTCGGTCGAAGAAGCTCTCCGGAGTGGAGAAAGATAAACGGTCGTGACGTGACAGCGGGACGTCATGTTACGTGGGGTTCGAAAATTAAATCAACCGCTTCGACGCTTTATCATTCGCCTAGTTTATGTTGCTATTGAAGCCGTTTTGATCTTAGCGTCCAAGTATTGGGTCTTTCGAGGGCGCCAAAATAGCTAGACTCCAACAATTAACTTAATAATTTAGCGCAGGCAAGAACAATTCTGGCCATTATCGTTCCCAGTGTAATCCCCGGTGATTGCACAGCACTCGGCTGTGTAACTGGTCCGGTAATTACAATAGACAGTGGTAATGGGGGGGAATCGATTTCCATACGGAAATTAAACGAGAACCGATGCGTCTGCCAACAATCGAATTCGTATTAAGTATTATTCCCCGGAAAATATTACGGTCGTGGTAACGCGCGAACACGTGACCAGCGTAATTTCACGTTAAACAGGAGTCTAATCGTCCGTGGGAGTTCCCGCGAAGCTGATTCTCAATTATAAATAACGAGGGTGCGAATACTCGCAAGACCGGCTGTAAAATAAGAAATGGTTTTCGTTTCACGCGAAAGACTTCGGTATATTCGAGACGACTGGGCGCGCAATAATACGAGCCAAAGGGAATTAATATCGAGTAGCGATCGTTTGCGATACTTTTACTCGTTCAGTAAGACTCTGTCCGGAGACTGACATTTTGGGACAGAAGAAACTATAATGAGCAAAATAACAAGAAACGAAGTCAATTAGAATCGAGTACCGATCGTTTGCAATTCCCAGCGTTGTTTTCAGCGAGCTTTTGTTTCGAACAGCTCGGTATATTTTAATGGTCCCGGGTTATAAGACTAAGGAAATCTATAACGAGCGCAACAATAAGGATCGGGGAAGCATAATGTAGGAATTCGAAATTACCGGGGGATCCTTCTAATTCGTTCCATCCGTGGCTTTTGTCTCTGTTGAGGGTTGCTGAAACGATTCCTAATTAATAGAACCGAATCAAGTAACAACATTCGTCGGCCATCGAATCGAAGAACCTCCGCTCGGCGGCCAGGCGCGAATCAACGTTCGAAGCGGATGGAAAGTTTGTTTTACCTTGTTCGTTATTAATGACGTACAAATTAGTTGACTTGAAGTCACGGCGAAAACCGCGCCGCAAAAGAAAATACGTGTACGTCGAAACGAAAGTGGAACCGTCGGATAGGAGGCGTTGGCAACGAGCCGAGTTCACCCGGTGTGTTTCGTTTCGGGGCTTCATAATTTGCGATCGAGTCAGCGGATTCGGGCGTTATTAGGTACCGGCGGGGTTCGTCTTTATCGTAACAGGGGATCCCGGGGGAGGCAAAAACCGTCTTCTTTGAAACGGAATCTTGCGGAGATTTTATCGACGTCACGGCACTTTTTCCTTTGCGCCTCGATCGACCAGGGCTCGACTTTAATATTCTTCTTTCGTTCGATTTTACGAGACGCGAAACCATGGGTTCCGTAACCCCGTTCGGTAATGGGATCAGATTCAACGGATGCTATCGGTTTCGACTATGAATAGCTAGGCTTTATCCAACTCCTCGAGCGGCTGATCAAATTTGAAAAGCTTACAAAACCGCGCAAGAGAAAATAAACACCGAACGAAGGAAGCTTGTTGTTCGGTGGTCGGGCGAGAAAGCTTCTGAAAGAATTATGCCATCCGTATCGAGGCTCGATTATTTGTTATGCTATGCAATATTAATACATAATTCTGGGTTAGAAGTCGTTTTAAAACGTTAAAGAGAATACGAAGAGAACGTCCAGTACTTACACTTGGTAATGGAAGAAGTTCCCACGCTGCTGCCTTGCTTCTTAAACTTATCGGCCATAGTGACTTTTCTACGAATGTTCTTGTCCGGTTGAAAGAGGATGATGTAGACCTTGGGCGAGTAGAGACAGACCAGGGTCACGGAAGCGCTGAGGCTAATCGCCACGCAGAGCGTGGTAATTTGGGTTTCGTGCGCGTTTCCGGTCCCGAAGTAGATCGGCACGAACGCCAGCCAGATGATGCAAGTGGTGTACATGGTGAAGCCGATGAACTTGCTCTCGTTGAAGTTCTCCGGTATTTTGCGCGTCTTCACCGCGTAGATCGTGGAGACGGCGATCAGGAGGGCATTGTACAGCTGCGAGAAGAGGAAGCTCATATCCTGGATCTTGCACTTGAGTATCACCTGCTTGCGTGTCGGGTAGACGAACCTCGTGTCGGGCGGCTCGATGATCATCCACACCAACGTTATCACGACCTGGGGACAGAAGAAACGGGACCATTTGTGGAAACGATCCCAAACGAGGGTATTGGATCGTTGTTTGGCTTACCTGCAACGCGATCAGGGCGGCAGCGATGCAGACTTGCGAGGTGGGACTGATGTACCTGAGTCTGACCACCGACCTCGAGGAATCGAATATCCTAGCGATCCTGTTGGTCTTGGTCAACAGAGCACCGTATACTGCGCTGAAACTCACCCCCACACCGAGCCTCTGAAGAACACAGGTGACTTTGGTGGGCGTCGCGAGCAAGATGAACGTGTTCAAATAACAAACGAGCACCCCGGCCAACAGAATGATGGTCAGCTCGCGTCCAGACGCTCTAACCACTGGAGTGTCTCTATGGTGGAACAACAGACACGCGACCGCGAGGGTAGCTACGATTCCAAGGCACGATATCACCGCCGGAACGATCGCGAATGCGCTATTCCATCTGACGTAGTTGATCGGTAGCTGGTAGCATCCCCTTTTGTCCTCGTGCGGCCAATAGCCGGCGTTGCAATCCTTACAGGTTTTCTCGTCTTGGACGAACTGGTACTCCTCGCACTGGTCGCACACCCAGCAACAAGTGTCACCCTGTTGCTTCTTTATCATACCTGGCTCGCAGGGCAATGAGCACGCAGAAGTCGGTATATCCTTCGTACCCTTTGCCCAGACGAGCTCATCCGTGTGGATGTCCAGCGAGTTGTACCATTTTCCTACCACCTGATGCCAACATTTACACCGTTATTGCCCGTCGCTCTTTCTCTCTTCGCTCGTTCGTTCCTCGGTGCATTCCAGAGGTTCAACAAGCTCCGAAAAACAACTGTTTCGAACTGTTACCTATCGGCTCTGATCGAAACACTTGTGAAAAACTTTCGTTCCGAATAACTGTTATGTAAGACATAAGGTTTCGGTCTCGGGTCTTCAGAACCAATATTATGTCGGTTTTATATCCGATACGGTTGCAATTATCGGTTCCACATAACAGTTATTCAAAATAAATGTTCTTCGTAACTGTTTCAAGAACCGAAACCGATATTATAACTCTTTTCAATCCCTAGCGCACTCATTTTCCCCCCCTTTTTTTGGTGAATAGTAGAAGGTAAGACATTTAAAATAAATAATAATGTACGCACGATACTTTCTTATCGACGAGCTCTCGAAGGGATAGTTTTGTTTCTATACACGATAGAACGTTTGGCGAAAATAAGAGCCAGTGTGATTGCAACTTTCGAGAGGAGTATTGATTGACGTTGAAATTTTCGTTGAATATACAAACGAGAACTCGTTAAAACGATACCCGACTGTAGTTGTAGATAGCACTCGATGCCTGTGCGGTGTGTGCACTCTTCACAGAATTATTTTTCGACGAGAATACTTTTGAAATTGCCAAATTTGTTACCGAGCAGGCCACGATTCGATTATTCGCATCAATTTAACAATCGTTCGTTTTTCTTTCTATTTGCTATAGGAGAAACAACGATCAAACGTTATTTAAATTTTATGCGACATTGTATTTTTCGAGGTGGAATTGCAGCTCGAATTCGTCATTGTCCGATATAAGATACACCGCGTTCCGTACGAAAATTGAAATACGGGCCAAGCAAGCTTTAGAAAACATTTTATTCCGCCCGCTATCGAAAATATACGGTGGCGTTTTCTGTTTCTTTTTTTTATTAATGGCCAACCCCGATAGAAACGTGGCGCAATAAAACTGACGCTTTTTGACGATTTAAAGTTACCTGTTCCGGGAAGTAAAAAGTGATATTTCATTCTGTAAGTTGTATTCAGTGTAGGAAGGTAGATGCAACGAAGGTCGCGTTGCAATTTATATCTCTCCTCCCCCCCTCGTAGCTACTTTATCGTTCGAAATGCGAGGGGCGCGCCCAACCTTGCGTTGATTTACGATTTTTATCGAGAAACAATCGTTAATTGGATACGCGAGCCACGGTGGAAAAACTGGTTGTTTCGTGTACGATGAAAAACTGGCGGATCAGAAACGAGTTAACGCGCGAACGATTTGTCTTCGGCCACGGGAATTAAGAGGACGAACACACAGACGACCGAACGATAATTAATTAGATGACCGATAGCTCGATACAGGCGTCGTAAATCAAATACGGTAAAGTAAAGCGTTCGGTTTCGAAATCAGTAGGGAGTCCTAAGTGTTTGGATAATGGACTTTTCGAACGACGGAACAATCACTTTCCTGGTATTAAAGTTCATTCGTTCAAATAGAGATCGGTGCAGTATTGCCTCTCTTCTTGCAATCAAATCGGGACTGTCGAGTTGCATGTGGAGAGGTTCGAGCAAACGAGCTGATCAAATAGGTTTTTAATTACACAGCTGGCACTCGAATCAACGGGAATGAATCCGTACCAAGTATACCTAACGCAAACTGTTGCAAGAAGCGAGGCAGAAAGCCTCTACATAATAGAGTATTCGAATACGGAAAATGCACTAACGATAAGAAACATCGACTACACATTGAAACTCGTGATTCCTAGAAAAAAAGAGAAAAATTTTATCGATTTATCAGGGTTTTCTAGCCCGTGTTTTGATCGAAAGATACAAGATTTTTATTATTTATTTGAAAAACGTTTCGCGCGCAACCGAGCAAATAGAATAGGAAGATTCAAACGTTAGGCGTTACGAACACAGTGTTTGCCAAAGTCCCCCGAAGGATAATTATCCGTGGACCGGTGAAATTCGCCGAATCCAATAATAGGAACCTCGATTTCGATATTATTCTAGTCCGAACGAGCGTAAAAGTGCCGAAAGCGGTTCTCGGTGGAAAGTTTGCCTTCCACTGGTGGGAAAGGAGAGGCCGTAATTCAGAAGTTCTAATTAATCGGGAAGTGGACCGAAAGGAGGGGGAAAGGGAAATCAAAAGTACTTTCACTTGCCCGATAGTGGTATCCATTAGACCCGTTCAGGTCCGATTTCCGGAAGTTGAGGATCTCGTACCGTGCCAGACCGTCCCCGTGCTCGTCGAACTTCACTTCGCTGCCAGCAGCGTCTGAAAACAGTACTTGTGTCTCTTAGCTTTTGTTAAACTTGGTTCATAACATGGCGAACAATCCGACACAATACGTATCTCAGCGAAATAGAGTTAGGAACAACCATCAAGCTCCTCTTACTGGACACTCTTCGACGCTAAAACTACCAAAGTCGAAACGACTGGTTTCAAACTTTAGTTTAAGAAATACTCGACTTTATGACTTCGCTCGTAATATCGAGAGAATTAAAACTACCACTGTATCGTGAATTCTCGTTTTTCCGTCGATATTTAATAAATATTTTTCTGCCTATTGTAATAATGTTTCGTCAGCTTCGAGATTTACGAGCTCTCGCATATTCAATTACAGAGGCTGCAATTCATTTCTTTTTTTTTCTGCTTCGTTCAGGAAAAAGCAATTCGTTAAATTCACACGGTGAATTTATGCCCCCCCGCCCCTTTCCCCGGTGGGAGTTTCGTTTACTTATAGCTGGATCGCTTCGGTTTTAATATATCCGAGGCCAGACGATCCCAGCAATATGGCTTTTAATTATGTCTCTTCCGTTTCGCGTAATTGACACGCGATTGTGCCTCTTGCTATCTTCCCGATCGTCGATTCTAGCTGCGAAATAATTCGATGAAGACTAAAATTATATTTTCACTTTGTTTTTAATGGGATCGGCACTGTGGTCGTGACGCGATATCCCGTGCCTAGGAGAGCCAGATTCCAAAGCCGTTTCGATAACCCTCCATTTAGCTGCACGGGAAATTTTTCATTCAATATCGAACAGATGACGCACGGGCTTTTATTTTACACACTTTTCTCCCCGCGATGCATTCGCCGATATTCCACGCGTACAGTGCTGTCCATTACGTCATCGGGCTTTTACAATTAGAGAATCGATGCTGCCTGATTTATGGTGTACGCGAGCCGACGAAATTATTATCTTTAATCCTCGATTGAGATCGTTTTTACCCAGCCGAAGCTCAGGTTTGATCGAGTGTTTACTCGAAAGGGGTAGAAAATACGGGAATATTTTGTTTTTAATAGCTCTGTATCGTCGGTTATGCGTACAGAGTTGTTCGAGTGTTCCATAAAGTCTATTTCACAATTGAAAAAATTCATTCGAACTGCTAAATTTGAAAGTGGCCCAGTGTGCATCGCGGCGTAATCTCCGCGTTATCCGTTCGCCCGGTGCGAGCGCAGATCGATCTAAACCGTGAGCGAAGTCACCGAAATCGGGCCATTATTTCCTGGTCATTTCGTGGAATTCGCCACGTCGCGACAACCGAACGAATCGATAACGCTGCCCGCGGATGTCGTCCGATTCGATTCGAGATACCGGTCTAATCACACGTGTACAGACAGCGCGAGAAAACCGAGCGGCGAGAGACGGTTCACGCGATACGGTTTCTCGATCGAGTCGATAATGCCCGAACGCAGCGTTCGCGCCTTTGTAAATGTAAAGATACCCTAATGAACATAAAAGATAGGATCGAAACAGGGAAATCACGTGCTCGCTACAGCGGCCGTAAAACCGTTAAGTAGTTTTTTGGGGCACGTTCGCGCGTATTTCGTCGCAAGGCTGCGAAACGGTTGGAACACGGTCGAACGGTTACTCGCTAAGCGTCCTGTTTGTAAAAGCCTTTATTATTTGAGTCCGACTACACATAAACCTCCGTGTTGCGTGTCGCCTTTAGAAATAGCGGGGAAAAAAAACAATGGCATCGGAGACTGCACACATTTAGGATCGATACAGCAACGATCCCCCTGTGATACTACCCCGCCCCACATTTTTATCTCTGTCCTTTTCTCGTTTTTTCGCCGCGACTCTCGCACCCGACCTCTCCGTTCCTCTGTCGTAGTCGCGGAGCTTTGCTGGCCTCGGACGAGTTTTACTTCAACCCTTTTTAATGGGTCTGTCTTTATCGCGCCAGAGTACGAGAATAAAAAAAAAAAAAACCGCCGCGCGCGGTCTGCGTTTCGCTCGTCGTCGGGTCTCGACGAACCGAGGGATCGTTGCTTTTTCAGCACGAGAACCGGACTCCGCCGCTTTTTACAGCTTCGCCGAAAATTCGTTTTCTGGTACGCGCCTAGGCATCTGCATTGAAACCGATGGAAGCGGTTTCAGGTTGCCTTTTCCCCGGGTTTCGAGAGCTTTCATCCTACCAGCGGCAAGATTCGCAATTCTAAGCTGCCTTTACCATAGTCTATCATCCATCGATATTAGGGCTTGAAAACGTAGGGTTGTAGGCGCAGGTAATCGAAGAAACGAGTCGTTTCGACCTCCATCGGTAGATCTAGCGTAAAGTTTAGTCGCTAAAATGAGCCGACGAGTTCGGCGTTTATCGTCGAGCCGACGATATTATCGTCCGCGTCATAAGGCGAGCGAATCGCGTCGTTTATTGCATGGTTCGTGTCGAGGGGGGGTGGGGTAAAAATTTCATACGAGAGCCACCGATTCCCGAATGCATCCCCAGCCCCTGAATCCCACCCCCCGGCGTTGTGCGCGGCTCGGCGACAGGAGGCCGGCGCGAAATATTGAACTCGGCTTTCAGAGCGCGGGCCGGCTATTCAGCGTGGGGCAATTCGACTCACCTGTAAAGGACACGTTCAGTAGATAATTCCTATAGAACGCCCCGCGGTCGTAGTGTGCCATCGAGGCGCACAGACCCGAGTTCTTCGTGCACACGTCCCGCTGAAGGTTGTGGAGGGCCAACGCGAACGCGTACACCGCGTCCACCACGAACTGGACTTTGGACTCCTGCTCGTATCCGGTCGCCGCGTTCAGTCTCAGGTTCGGGGTGCACACGGTCGCGTTTTGGGCCGTGGCGTATCGCTTCGGGACGCAACCGAACACCTCCTCCCAGTACTCGCCGAACCAGGGATTCCGTCGATTGGTGTCCGGCGTCAAAGAGGCCATGTACTCGTCAAAACCCGGTATATTCTCCGATTGAAGCTCGACCGTGATGGCGCCCTCGGCCTCCTCCTCTAGCCCTTCCACCAGCTTGCTCTGTCGGCCCCAACCGTCGCTGGCCAGCCACTGAAACGGTTGGCTCAGGTTCGATCGTCTCGCCGCCTCGAGGATACCTCTCGCGTCCTCCGCGCGGGTGAACAGTATCACCGCCCTGGCGTTCGACTTTTTGCTTAGCCTCTGAATTATGTCGTCGAACACGCGGTCGTCCGCCGCCCCCGGCACCTTCACCGCCGCCGCGATGCACACGTTCCTCTCGGTCGCCTCCCGCGTGAACACCTCGATTCCGTATTCCCCGTAGCTGCCCTCCGAGTACACGGTCGAGACGTACGACCAATTGGCGCTCTTCACCACGTCCACCAGGGCGATCGATTGGAAGGTGTCCGGAGGCACCGTTCGTGCGAAGTAGTCGAACCTGATGCAGATCAGAGATTTGCTTTCCAAACGAGGCGGGGGATTACGATTATTTACTAAGTCCTGACAGTGGAAAGAAATTGACCGTTACAACTTCCTTTCCCTAACGCGAATATTTAAGACATTGTCGCTTTGATTGACTCGACCGAAATCTATTTATTTCAAGTTTTAATAGCGAGCTTTCGAATGCTTTCGTAAGCCACTATAGAGCTCGATACATACGCAATCGCGCGCCTCCTTTTCACCTTTTGAAGCCAACGAAGAGCGAGGTAGCCAAACGTAGGGTGAGGATAGGTTTTCCAATGGTACTGGACGGCCAAAATCTTTTACCACTACTGCAGCGGATGCCAATAAGAAAGTTTCAGGTTGCAAGTGTAGTGGGTGCAAGTGTCTGAATTTATTGTGTCGTCTCTACGACGATTTATGGTGGAGTCTACGAAGGAATCGACCTAGCTGGTGGGAAACGTTCCAGGAACGGAAGCCCTAGCTTTCTACCTTACTCCTACTGACCCGAACAGTCGCAGCAAAGTATTCGAAACATTTTACGATTTCGTGATCGTTGAGCAACATTGTCATCGTATCCAGGCCTTTGCCAATAATACTTTATTATTATTGCTTCGTCAAAATACTACTTGTGAAATTCTGGTCATTCGAATCATCGACCAAGAAGTCTCTAAGATCCTTGTCGTCTCGTTGACTCCACCATAGACGAGGATCGAATTTTAATGAGCTCGACTCTATCGTAAGTAATTTTCGATTCGAAAGGATGAATGAAAATCAGTGTGTATTCGCAACCTGGTTTTATCGCTGAGGGCCTTGGCGGTGGATGCCGGCGATATCTGGGGGATGTGGAAAAGCCTAAGCAAATTGGCCACCTGAAGAGACACCGAACTATAGGATCCCCCGATCACCCCGAAGATCGGTCCGGCGGTGGCCGTCTTCTTCACCCTTGGTACGGACTTGTCGGCGCACTCGAGAACGCTGATGTCCAGATTGGACAGGGACGCTCTGACGAAGTGCAAGCTCTGATTCAGCGCGTAGGTGTCTCGGCCGCACGTGTCGAGGATGTGGACGCCTAGCGTGATCCCAGGCAGCGTCCTTTTGTCTTCGTTGATTTGATCGACGGCGAACAGCATCGCCTCGAGACGCTGCACGCCGCGGTTGTAGACGTTCGGTCCGCAGGTGGCGCCGCCCTTCTCGTGTACCGGAAACAGACCGCCCAGAACGATATCGCCGGGTATTAGAACGGCTTCTCTTTCGCTGTGCGCCTTCGTCTGGGACACCACCGAAAGCTGCTCAAGCGATACCAGGAGTACCAACATCCAGGTGAGAGGATGGTACATTTTAGCCGTTGACTGTCTAGCTTTCCGACTTGGCCGACCACGAAGATCACATTTTACCCTCTTCTGCGCCTAGCTTTCGAGATTCCTAATAATTTCAGGCTAGGTATGTGTCGCGGATATCTTTAAAGTCGGTCTAAGGCATGTTATTTAGAAACGACGGCCGAACGGTTAGCGAGGATTGGAGTTGTCGATCGGAGTAGAAAAGCTCGTCTCGCGCAATAGCGTTAGGTCGCTGACTAGTTAGGCCCTTTGCGCGTATCGTTTAACTCGGCTATTTACATCGTTTCGGCTGCTTCGGTTTTGGTTCGTTCAGAGTCTCTCGGTTCGATCGATAACGATTCGCGAGGACCAGCTTCATCCATTTCCAACGACGGTTTTGGCGCACCGAACAACCCGTGACAACGAACCAGACGAATCCAAAGTTATCTCGTTGTCCGCGCCCCGTCGTCTGCCGCATTCTCGACGGCGAGAGTCCTCCGCGTCGCAGTCTCGATCTTCCTCCTCTCCAGCATCTCCAGTCTCTTCGAGTTTACAAACTGTCGCCTCGACGATCCCGTTGACGAGCCCGGGTCTCCGGTTTGTCGGCCTCGATCTTGCCTGACGGTCGCGCAAACAATTACGATATTAATTCGTTGGACTGTATTATTCGTTTCGACGCTAAATCTCCCCCGAGTTTTGGGGGGTAACTTTTTTACGTGTCCCTCCTATTCAAAGCATGGGATCTGGGATCTACTTTGGAGGTAGATCGGGGACGCAAAAGCAACGAGAAACGTTCGCGTATAGTTTCGTTAGACGTACACGTTTCGATCGAAATAGTCTTTGAACGAACGATGTTCTGGCGGTCGAATAACTTTTGGCTTGTTCGTTCCCAGAATCTAAATCCAATGGACGTTTATTTTTGGAAACGCTTCAATCGTGGCTTCATTCGACACTTACCGCCAGTGTCGAAATATTTAGCCAACGTATACGAGGATTCTGGCAACGAATTCGGCGAAATAACTGAAATAGAAAAAATGGCTATAACTCGAGGACAAGGCTACTCGTTGGCCGCCCAGGTACAAACATAATATCGCCTTATTAATTTAACGTCAATCTCATATTGTCAATCATGACAAAAACAAACCACGAACCAGTGACGATCTTAAATAAACATCGTTCCTAATAACGAGCATAAAAATAGAACAACCAACGCCAGATTGTCTTTCCTAGTTTTCATTTTATTTCGATTCAAAGTTCCGTCGTCCATATTGGAAAATCCTATGGCAACATTCTCCGGTATCTTTTCCAACTTCTCCGGCGAACCAGTGATTTTTTTACCCCCGTCACGTCCGATTTAACTCGACCGCGTTTGCCGCTATTTATAATGCTGTTTCACTTTTGCTTTTTTCGAGAATGTCGGGGCGAAAAAGAAACTCGCCACGCGAGGCTCGGATGCGGTCGTCAGCGTCGAAACTGCGGCGAAATTCTCGAGGTTGGCTACGACTGGGCGGGCTCGTTAAATTTCCCAACTCGTACTCGTTAAGCGGACTTAATTTCACGGAACTCTAACAAGCGTGGCTCCGCTTCCAGCTTTAAATTCGAGGGTCCTTTTGCGTTTTTCTCCCCTCTTCTCTGCCGTGCTGCTCTCGAGTTTTAAGATCGCCATCCGATGCACGGTTTAGCGATTGTCTCTCTCTTTTTATAATTTTATCTGCCGTTTACTCAGCTTCTTTCCGCGTGAATCGGATTAACTACCCCCGAGGATCGGGTCAGAATCCAGGGTTTAAGTCGTTGAGTGGATCGGTTCGGCAATTCCCGAAGAACGACACGAAATTAGAAGCTCGGGGAGCGTCTAGTTTCTCCTCCGGTCTCGCCTCTGGTTTTCATTCCCCTTAAGATTCTTTCCTAATCAGTCTTTCAAGTAGGACACGCGCATATCGAAAATTTGTCAGGTCGCGAGCGCGAGTTACGAAATCCCACAAAGTAAATGGGGGTTTTGTGCAAAACGCGCGCTCAGTCTCCGGCAAGTGCCACCCTTAGTTTCTCGAAGGCATGCTCTTTGTTAACCGCTCACCCTCGGCCCACTTCTGTCATGCGTGTCCGACCAACGGCGACGTTTAGAAGAATTTGTCCGGAACCTTTAGTTCGCTCGTGTCATTCGTTTTGTACAAGGTGCGGCCGAATAATATACACCAGCGGCCAATGGGCGATCCCTTATGAAAGAATAAGAAGACAAATTCACACCTCAACGTCATTAAACATTGTGTCGTATGCTACTCGAGGACGAATAATTTAATCTTATCTAATAATATATTAAAAATGAATGAACCTTTAATACGTAACGTACGTATATTCGAGAAACGTGCCCAAGTATTACTTCCCGGTGCATAGTACGTGTCGAAGAATTAATTGAAATACAGTTTGCGAATTTAAAACAAGATTTTTAGCATTTCCTGTTAAGGGGACACCCAATTCTGACTCTGTACGTAGCGAACACAATTGTTCGCGGCTAGGACCGAAACGAGCCTCGGTCAAGTGCTCGATCAATTTCCAGAGTGCTTTCCTCCACAGAGAAACATTTATTCCGTCGTTCCGATTTATTCGAACAAAACGAATCATCCTGTCTCCAGCGTTACGACAAATTCGTTCTGTACACCGCAAAATCAACCTTTACACCAGGAATGCCAAACGCGCGCCTCGGTCCATTAAATTCTCTACACATCCAAACCTTTTTATTATATCACGTGGTATTTTTTCACTCGCGTGTTTAGAAACGGCGAACACAATTTAGAAAACGAGACGGTGGAGACGAAAAGAATACGTGTACAATTAATCTTATTCACTAGTAGTAAATATTCGATAACGCGAAATATTGTGTAGATTAATTGCCCGCTGCATTCACTGACGATTACCAAGCCAGTCCATTTTCTGGCATTTTCTCCTTTCGGCTGGTGCGTTCAGACCGAGAGAGAGACTTTCTCTTGTTTTCTGCCGGGGTTGCTGAATATTCCAGGTAGTCGGTCTGAATATTCACGCGGCGCGTTTTCCTAGCCGATTCGCTCGATGTACTTTCCCTTCCAGTTTCTAATATAAAGGGTACCTGTTTTCCCCGTTTAAAGTATCGACCTCTCGTAGTCCCAAACTATCGATATTTACCTACTTGGACCTTTCCCAACGATTCCCAGCATCCGCGATATTCCCAGCATACCCCGACCCTTTAATTCGGCTACATCGATTTTCTTCGGCGCGCGAACTCGAAAAACTTTGTTCCTCGCGAGGGAGCTTGGTGCTCCAGCTTGCCATAATTCGTCCTTTGATCGTTCTCGCATAGCCGCCGTCTCGAATTAATCGAATGGAGCTACTTGACTCTCATAGTATTCCTGGACGATGTTAATTATCAGCTGATACCTTCTTCCTTTCGGTCTGCAGTGCGTTTCAAAACTACCGCTTCGACTCGCGACTGAAAATGCACGTTGGTTGTTTTCTTCGCGAGCCTCCGTTTCTGAGAAAACAAACTCTGAAAATATTATTCGATGTACAGGGTGTTGAAAGTGTTGTGTAATCTCCGAGTGGGTCGAGAGAGTAGAGATCTAGCAACGTCAGAAATATCCAATTAACTAGAAATATCGATTCGAGACCCGGTTCTTCCTTCGACTCGCTCGTCCATTATTTTTCCGCGCGAATTTCCGAACAATTTCCTTCCCGCCAGATGTATCGCAGAGTGCCAGCTGTTCTTTTCCACGGTGGGGGAGGCGTCCGGAGAAGGATTCCCCTGCGAAAAGCAATCTCGATGCTCGCGCGTGTCTTCGAGGCCGACTTCGGAAACGTTCGATCCTCTCTCGCGTATGTAGGACGTGCGCACATTAGCAGTTTCCTGGGCAATCACGGGCCGGAAGTTACCCGCAAAATTATTAGTCCGAAAACCGGATACACAGACTTGATACATTCCGTGGAACGTTGTCGCAGAAACAACCGCTTCGGAACCACGCGATAAGTGTTCAACAAGTTACGCGTAATTCGCCAGCGGCACACAAACGCCCCTGGAATATTGCTTTCAATCTTTTGGTTCGCTAATTATTTACTAAAATATTTTCTAGCATTCTTTACAACATTTACTCGATTTACTTAAGTGTATTATATTTATTGTGTCAAGGACTGTGTTCAAGGATGAATACCGGCCACCGTGCAAACGAGAAATTATTTGATTCGAAGAGTTTACGATCGAATAATATTATTATCGGTGTCGAAAAGAAAATTGACGAGGCAAGGAGACAATTCCAGAAAGGCGAGACGAGTTCCTCTTCGACCCTTTCGCTCTGTGCGAAAAGTTTCAACAATGTTTCGCGACAAAACTACCGACTGAAACGGTTTTGTTCGAAAGCTTCGCCGCTTTCGATGCTTCAAGGAGAACACCTGTTAACTTGCTCAAGCAGCGCGCCACCGCTTTCAATTTTTAACCATTCATTCCAGGGATCCCGCGATCTCTTTAGCTAAATTGCCGTCCTCGACGGTTTGTCCTCGTTTGAAAGCGAGCAAAGTCGAAGAGACCGATTCTCAAGCTTCGAACCAGGGATTTATGCCCCCCGACCGTAATCACACTTTCGAAACCATCGTTAGCCGTGACATTTTATAATTCACGCGTGCTTGCGCGTTTTCGAAGACAATCGTGACGATTTCAGCGCTGAGAGAAGAATAATCTCGCGAAAATGGTCTCCTCTTCTTCACTTGAACATCAGTTTGCGCTTTTCCGAGGATTTTATCTCCATTATTATAATAAATTATGTCATTCCTTTCGAATACGAGTCTTCGACTCTCGATTTTCGACGTATTCCTGCCATTTCCGCCAAGATCGAAGCTGTTTTTATTCTCCCCCTAGAATCGAATGTTTAGAAAGACGCATCGACACGAAAGTACGCTAGTGTGTAGGTATAGGGTATTCGAAACAGTCTCTGGTAAACTTCAGGGCGAACGGATAGGTCGGATGGAGGATAAGATGATCCGACGAGGAACTGCCGAGCATTTCCGAAGTTGAAATATTGGTTTCAACTACTCGGTGATTTTGTTTCCGATCTGAACAGCACCGTTCAGTCGTATCCAATAACGCGACAATGGCAGAACTTTCCTTGGGCATTCTTCAGGCACGGCGAAGGTAGTCAGAAACCGAAGGTCGTTTGGATCGTTTGTAGAAAATGATTCGTGGCTAAGGGCTACGCGATGAATTTATCGGATTGCCCAACAGGTACTTGCGTTGTTTCCTGTTGTAAATAAAGATGCACTGCCTACTATTGGAAACAAATGCAATTACTTATCGAGTACCGAATGTTATCGAGATTTTGATCCTCTTCTCATTGGGAATTCTTGCTTTGGGATATCTGTTCTTCGTTCGTGCGGTAAAAGGCATCTGTAACGTGTACAGATGGGTAACCATAAATCAAGCCGATAACGGTTGGAACCGCTGACTCTTCTGGATATTTTCGTAGTAAAACTGTGCTGTTCCTAAAAGAGCACCAAGTAAATTTGCTCGGTAATACACGACGCATTTCGTGAATTCGATAGGAAAGGGTTAACGCACTTCAAAGCTTCTCGAGTTTGCCGCTAGGAATCCTTAATTTGCCAGC